CCCCCCCCCCCCAGATTCCCAGGACGAGACCTGCCCTCAGGATTCCTGAGGCTGATTCTGGCACCCCGCATCTTCCAAATCCCAGCACGCTCCTGGGACTTAACCTCTCTGCACACAGATGCTACCCGCCCCCCCAACGCCCAGTCCTTAACCCCTGGGCTGCATCCCAGCACCTTAACCTCCAAGACTTGACCCAGCCCTTGAACTCACGTTCAGCCTTCGGGATGCTACAATTTTTGCCACACTCTGAACACTTCCTGGACACCCCTAAACCTGACATCAGACATCCAGCTCAGGTTCCCCTGACGCTAGAATTTTCAAGATAGGCTCAACCTGCCTGCAATTCCAGGGAACCAGATCTTTCCGGGGCACCCCCTTCTTATGGCTAACCCTGTCCCCTCTAAGAGCCCCTTTCTTTAAATGGTGTCCTAAAGGCACCTTCATAGACGCCAGTGTTTCCCAGAGGGTCATATTTGCACCCCTGGCGACGTGCTAAGGTTTTAAGCAGTACAAGGACAAACACTTTTAAAAGTTTTGTCTTTCCTGGTATTTCGCATATAAGCCTGTAAGTCCAGATACTGCTGCTTGGCCAGGACACCGTTTATTTAGGCTAGAGGTGTTTACATTTAAAATGTAGAGGCTGTTCCTGAGTGGAGGAACGCTGGAAAATCAGAAGCTTGGGAAACAATGACATATCCACCAGGGCTGGGATTCCAGCTAGCCCCTCCCCCGCGTTCCTCAAACCCCGATGCTCTCGGGTGGAAAATCATTTCTCACATCCCATCCTGGCTCAAGGATGCGCTACCTCCCCCAAGCCCAGAAACCACACCGGTCCCAGAGTCCCTAGGGGACTCCCCTTTTTGGAGTTGGGGGGCCCACGGAATTAGCAACCTCCCTCCCTCTGCTCCCACCGGCCTCAGGAACACCCCCCACCCGAGGGTTGGGGGGATGTCACTGAGCACGATTCTTGATGCAACGATTCCTATGCAAGGGGCATTTTGAGTCCCCCCATTCTTCCCTCGGACCCTGAACCCTGGCGAACCAGGGGCGAGGGGCGGGGCGGGTTCTGGTGGGAGCGGGGTGGGGCGGGGTAAAGGGCTAGGGGCTTCAGACACCAGGGTGTGGGCTTGGAGACTGATTACATTGCCAAAGGGTTTAACTTCTTAAAACCCCAGATACCCCTGACCCTCACGGAAGCCGAAAGGTGCGGGGAAAGGGGGTGAGGATTTTTCTTAAGGGTACGGACTTCTTCCCAACGTCTACCCCCACCCCCCCGGCTCGCCAATCTGCCACACGTACCCAGCTTTTTAGTTCAGCTTTTGAAAATAACCACAATCATTACAAACCTCTACAAACGTTATTCTCGTCTCCCCGTCCCCCAAGTCAACAGTGTGGGAGTCGGGGAGGGAGAGAGAGAGCTAAAGGGACAACTTCCAAGTCCCGCGCCCCTTTTCCCCCCCAGCCGCCAGGGTGCCTGCAACTACACGCATGCGCTGCATGACGCGCTCCCCACACGCATGTCGCGCCCCTCCTGCGCTCCGGGAACGCACGGACACGGGGCAGGGGGCGGGGTGATTGGGGAGGAATGAACGGCGGGGGTCTTTCTGAACACAGCGGCTCCTCCCCAACACACACACAGCAATAAGTTTTTCACTCAAAAGTGGGCGGGGCGGGCCTGGCCTGTCGTTGGGGTGGGGGGGGAGCGGCAAGGGGGCGCTCTCAGGGATGGGGGAGGGTGTCCTGAGTCAGTCTGGGGAGGGGAGGTCTGCAAATCGTCCAACTCTGGTGCTAATGGCGGGTCTTCTCAACCCACCCCCCCAGGGCAGGGAGGGAGGGGTCAGCGTGGCCCCTCCCCCAAGCCTCCCCCACGCCCACCCTGGGTGCATGAACCGCCCGATGCAGAAGCTGCCGCATGTCACCCCCCCCAAGAAAAAGTGTCATGCCCCCCTCCCATCCACCCTGTCACTCCCCACCAAAATAAAAGTTTCCTTTTCATTTAAAAGTTTCATCCTTCTTGTCTGCAGAGAAAGTCTCTTGAAGGGGGCTTTGGGGGCAGACCTAAGGGTTGGGTCTTTAAGAACAGGGGTCATACTAAAATGGCAAGGACATGCACTTTGAGGGTGCAGACATGCCCCTCATCGCTGGCTCTCACCTTGTGATTTGGGGGTGAGCAACTATCTGCCTCAGCTTCCCTGATGGTAAAAATGGGGATACATGAGGTTGGATGGCATCGCCGATTCAATGGACGTGAGTTTGAGTAAACTCCAGGAGTTGGTAATGGACAGAAAGGCCTGGTGTGCTGCAGTCCATGGGGTCTCAAACAGTCGGACACGACTGAGCAACTGAACTGAACTGAGCCCTAATTGGAAACCCCAGGTGGGTCATGTGAGCTCATAGATGAGGGTTTCTAGTCTCCAGAAAAGGGATGGACCTGGGTCCCCAGTGTGGGCTCAGGGGTTACCCACTCTGAAGCCAGACTGGGTTCTATTTCTTAGTAGCTGTTTGTCCTTGGGCAAGTCTCTCAACCTCTCTGAGCTTGTTTCCACCACTCAGAAAGTGGAGGTGGTGATCTATTCATTTAACCAATATAAAAAGGAGGGGGTGATCTAGTCATTCAGCAAATATAAAAAGGTTAACTACACCAGGCAGTGTTCTAGACACTGGAAAACAATGAAATCTCTACACCTACTGGTTGAGACTAATGTCCCAAGTTTAGCACAGCTCTGTAAATAGTATTCAACAAACAGCCTAACAGTCACTACTGTCATTGCTTTGCAAAGACTTGAGGGTCAGCTAGAGTGCAGCTCTCCTTCCTACCACTGGATGATTGGGAGGCGTGGAGCCAGGGACCCTGCAGCTCTGAGCCTCAGTTTTCCCATCTGTATAATGGAGGGGATACCTCGGAGGGAGGTAGGGTGAGAAGGGAAGGATTCCTTCCACATTAAATGCTGGGCAAGCTGGAGGCCCCCCGACACCGACCAGCTGGATTAGAACCAACCCACTGCCCCCCGACCCCGCACCGCCCCTCGCCCGTCCTGTCTCCCTACCCCTGGAGGAACACACATAGCCCGCGGGGTCCAGTCGGGTTGGAGTTTATTTCTGCCACGGTTTGAAGGCCGGGAGGGTATGGGGCCTCCTCCAGCCCCCATGGGAAACTCCAGCTGAACTGTGATCACACAAGAGCAACGGGAGGGAACCTGAGGGGAGGGGGGATGTGTGAGGTCCCCTTATCCTGACCCTTCTGCAAGGGTCAAAGGCTGAGGGCCGCCTGGAGCTCAGAGTGCCGTTGCTCATAAGTTCCGGGGTCGGTGGCTAAGTGGAGAGACAGGGAGAGGGAAAGAGGGAGGGGGTGAGGGGAGGGGAAGGGGGAAGGGATGTGGAGAGTCAAGCTCCCTTCCTAACAAAGATCATTCATAACCGAAGGAAGGATTTGGAGCTGGATGGGACCCCAGCTTGCCGACCACACCCGAATTTCTCCCAAGTGAGATCGCCCCAGTCTGCGATCCGTGCTTGCCCGCTCCTCTGTTTAGGGGTTCACAGGGAAGTCTCCCGGGACCCCCGGGGTGGGCTGGATAAGTGCTGTCATGCCGGAAGGCGGCACCGTTTCCAAAGTGCAAGAAGCCAGAGGGCGGTTCTCAGGACAGGCGCCTGCAAGGGGGTGGGGGTGGGGGTGCCAAGGAGGGAGGGCCCGACGGCTGGGGGCAGGGTAGGGTCACTGCGGCGGAGCCGCCGCGGACCCTTCGGGCTCCGGGGGCGAAGGCCCGGACCCCGGCTCTGCCTCCTCCGCCGCCGCCTCCTCATCGGACGCCACGCCCTCCTCCAGCCGGAAGACCTGGCGCACGGTGCGGGTGGTGAAGGTGAGGGGTCCGCGCCTGCGGGGAGAGGAGGAGAGACCAGGAGGCAATTACGGGAGGAGGGGAGAGAGAAAAGTGAGAGGCGGGGGAGATACGGAGAAACAGAATAAAATGGGGAGGGGGGCACAGAGCGAAGACGGGGGAGCTGGGGGTTTCTGCAGAGGGGCTGCGCGTGCACGGGGTGGCCTCACCGGAGCCGGTTCCTCAGCGTGTTCAGCTCCCGGTTCATGGACTCGGAGGCCTCTGTGACATCCTCCAGCTCGTGCTGCAGCCTCCTGCGGACCGCCTGGGCCCGGGAAGCCTCCTCCTCGGCCTCCTCCAGCTGCCTCTTCAGCTGCTTCACTCGAAGGTTGCCCTTCTCCAGCTTGTGTGGGAGTCGGGGCGTTGGGTCATGTCTCTGGGTGCGGCTCTCACCCAGAGCGCCCCACATCTCCCTCCTCCATCCTGACTGTCACACGCCCTGCCTTCTGTTCATGCTTTTGTACTGCTCTGCTGGATCCTCTCACCAGCCTCCAGGTCAGGCTCAAAGGCGAAATCACCCGCCACTCGGCCTCAGAGGGGCCTCTCTGTGCTCAGATGTGCCCCTGCCCCTGCCCTGTTCAAGGTCCTCCCGTGATTCTTCAGTGCCGCTGGGACAAGGTCCCAGCACCTGGGCCTGGCGTTCCAGGCCCCTGCAGGGTCTTCTTCCCATAATCGCATGGATCCGGCCATCTGTAGTGAGACCCTCCCCCAGACCCTGCCATCTCTCTCTCTAAGGAGAGGACATACATAATCTGCCTCCCACCAACTCCTCTAACCTCATTTATCACTCAACCCCCCAACCCCATTCTTCTTGCAAGTTATTCTGCTCTGCTTTTTTGCTTGGGACTCACTGAGCTGATTTCCATAGCCCAGGGTCTTTGTACCGGCTATTCCCTCTTCCTGGCTCTTTCTCACCTTTCAGTATCAATTCAAATGTCACTTCCTTAGAGAGGTCTTCCGGACCACCTCCCTCCAAATCTAGGGAGGATTCTCCAGTCCTCTGTATCCCCCTCTCTCTTTATTCTTTTTTCTTCATAACCCCTTTCACAATCTATGATTATCTTTGCTTGTTTATAGGTTTACAGTGTTTTCCTCTTCCTGTGTTGAAAATGTGAACTTCATGAGGGCAGGGACATTCTCTGTGTCATTCACAGCCATATCTCCAATGGTTTGCACAGTGCCTGGCACATAGCAGGTGCTCAACAATTGTTTTGTGAAATAATTGGCGAATAAAACACAGCTGAGCTTTTAAGGGCACAGCAAATAGAGTGAATTACATTTGAGCCTGGGGTGGAGGCTGGCAAGAGGACCTAGGAGGACCTGATCCATACTGTCTTTATTAACTGTGTGAATTTGGGGCAAATTATACCCCCTTCTAAAGTTTCCATTTTCTCACCTGTGAAATGGAGCTAAGGAGAGAATGCAAGCATGCTGTCTTTTTGTTTAAGTAGGTAGCACAGTATGTGGGATATATTTACTAATCAATAAATAATTAAGGGGACAGATACTCAGCCAAAGTGCTGAAGGTTGAACTCTGGCTCCATCTCTTACTAAATAAATAATTGTGATCAAGTTACTTCAGTTTTCTGACATGAATAAGAGGGAAAATAATAGTACCTACCTCATGAGTTCTGATTAGAATTAAGTGTTACTACATGTTATGTCTTTAGCACTGGCTAAAGAAAGCTCTCAATAAAACCATTTTATTATTTAAGCTGTGGCCTAGCCTCTGGGTAGGATTTAACCTCTTCCCTCTCATTAGCTGTCTCAGCTCCCCACCAGGGCTTTTCCTAGATTCCAGAATTCACAGATCACAAAAAGTCACTAATTCAGGCTCTCCGCTGATGCACCAAGCCCCAGTACATTGTCTGCACTCGGTTTTAGTCCAGTACCCACACATTACCTCTTGTGATGGGAGCTCACTACCTCTAGAGATGCTACCTCTCGGTCAGTGGTCCCCCCACTCCCACTGCTTCTCCTTGACATCAGCTGCTCACCTGGTCCCGGAGCTGGTCAGCCACCCTCCGCTCCTCCTCCACCTGGAGCACCACCTCTTTAAGCCTCTTCTCAGCCCTCCGCACCAGCTTGCCAGAGAGGATGCGCTCCCTGAGGAGAGGCACGAAGGGAAGAATCAAAAGAATTGCTCACCTGGGGTTCTACCCCCGCCAAGCCTCGTCCAGTGGCTGCCTGTTCTTGGAGTGGCCTCTGCCCACCCACCCATGACTGGCTCCCACAGTCTACTGAGGCTTGGGGGGTACCAGGCTACCACCAGGGCATCTAATCCTTGACTTCAGCTAAGGTGCTTGATGTTCCTAAAAGTGTGTCTCCATGTCTACACCAGTTTTCCACATCCTGCTAGGTCTCTCATGTTCAATTGTATCCTCCACCCCGCTCCCAACCCTCCTCCTCTCAGGGAACTGACCGACTGACCGCAAGTCTCCAAATCAGACCGCCAGGCACCATCCTCACCCATTTTCTCTCCTTTGCCCCACCCCCGGCCTGTCAGTACCCAAACTTTGTCCCACTACCCCCTCAACTCTGCCCTGCCCCCTCCTTAGCCTCACAGCCCCAGCCCCCAGTTCAGGACCTATCATCTCCCACCTGAGCTCCCTTCTGCCTGGCCTGGAATTTTCTTTCTCCCTCTCTTCTTTCCCTCAATTTCCTTTTCAAGCTCTTTGTGTTTGTAGAACACTCTGGGAGCCCAAAACTCCATCCTTAACCATCTCTGCTGTCTTCCTTTCTCACTCACACACTTTTCTTTGGACATGCTCAGCTGTGCCCTAGGTTTCTACAACCATCAACAGCCTGGTGTCCGCTAAATCTGTCTCCTGAGCTCTAGCCTGGTTCGGCCCCCAGCCCCGGCTGCCCCCTAGACCCTGTACACCCTGCACTGGGCTCAATGCCTTCTCCCAAACCTGCTCCTCCTCCCAGTTCCCAACAATCCACCTAGATCTGCAGGTCAGACACCTGGCACCATCCTTACCTCCTGTCTCCTGAATTTCCCTATCCTGATGCTCATCCATTCTCTCCTGCATGGACCACCATACCAGGGTGAAGTCCATGTGATGGGGACCCCCAGCAATGGGTGGTGCTTGACAACCATGACTGGATATTCTGTTATGTCTGAGCTGGCCACATGGCTTGTTTTAGTGAAAGGATGTGGCAGAAGTGACACTGTACCAGTTCCAAGTCTAGGCCCTAAGAAACTTTCTCTCTTGGAACCTTCACTCTGTCATATGAACAAGCCTGGTTCAGCCTAGAGCAGAGACAAGTTAGCCGAGCTGTCCCAGGCAAGACTGTAGACATGTGAGAGCCCAGCCAAGATCAGCAAATCCATCTAGCTGACTTTCAGCTGAGCAAAGATGCGTGAGTGAGGCTCACCAAGCCCAGGTCAGCAGAACCTACCAGCCATTCCAAAGACTCATGAACAATAATAAATGATTGCTGTTTTAAGTCACTGAAATTTTAAGGTGGTTTGTTGGGCAGCTTCCCTGCATATGGGGCTTTCTTGGTGGTTCAGATGGTAGAGAATCTGCCTGCAACACAGGAGACCAAGGTTTGATCCCTGGGTCGGGAAGATCCCCTGGAGAAGGAAATGGCAACCCACTCCAATATTCTTGCTTGGAGAATCCCATGGGCAGAGATGCCTGGCTACAGCTCATGGGGTCACAAAGAGTTGGTCATGGCTGAGCGACTAACACTTGTTATGCAGCTATAGCTAACTGCTACGTTACTGTTTAAATTATACAGTGGGAATGCAGTTACTTGCAGCACAAAGCATCATAAATGACACAGGAAATCATCAACCATTAACATTATGATGCCTTTTGGATGTTTCTAAACCAGGTGCTTGTAACACAGCTCCCCTTTGTCTCATTGCCCAGAACGTGAGGGTTGCCCTCCAGCTGTGCCCTCCCTTCCCACTTACCTGCTCTCCTGCTCCAGCTGCTCCTCAGCCTGGGCCAACTTAGACTCAAGGGCAGCGATGATCATCTTCTGGCGGGCTCGGGCCCCAGCATCTTCCTCACCCAGGCGTTCCCGGAGCTCCTGGACCTGCCGTTCCAGCTGCTGCCGCCCGCTCTCTGCCTTAGCTGAGAAACTTCGCTCAGCTGACAGTTCTGTGGTCAGTGATTCTACCTGTAGCAGTGGGGAAGGCAGGATTGTCATGGCGGAGTCTCGGAGGGAAGGTGGGAGGTAAGTGCCAGAACCTCCCATAATTAAGTGAGTTGATCTTTGTTAAGTGCATGGCACAGAGCCTGGCACATACTAAACACTCAATAAATGTGTTTTTCCTTGATTGGCTTATCAGCCAACAGCAGTGCAAGCTCTGGGTTTTAACCTTTTGGATAGGTTTTTGCTATTTTAATAAGACCACAAGAGGAGACTGGTGGTCCAGTGATTAGGACTCTGAGCTTCTAACGCAGGGGGCTCAGGTTTGATCCCTGATTGGGTAACTGAGGTTCCACATACTGTACAACTCAGCCCAATAAATAAAGAAGTCCAGATGACTATCACAGGCTTGTTTAAATGCTGTCAATTCTATCTTTGACTGTGAATGAGTCTATTCCAAGGGTTATCACATTTTTGTTTGCACCAGGCTCATCCAGAGAGCTTGTGAAAAAAAAAAAAAAGAAAAGGACCATACGATCCCACCCTCCAGAGATTCTCATTCAGCAAGTCTGGAATGAGGTCCATGAGTCCGCATTTTCAACAAGCACTTCAGGTGGTTTTGGTAGAATGATATGCAGGATCGGTTTGAGAAATGCCAGCTCAATTAACAGGAGTTACTATATTGCTAATGTATAACCACACCCCTAATAATAGTGCCTGTTTATTTATTCATCTCGTACTCTGAGTGAGGTCCCATGCTGGGGACACGGAAATGAGTCAGATGTAGTCTGATTCATACTTTACTTCATTTCACCCTCACAGGAAGAGACCGACGTGGTGATTAGCATATGCTATTTTTTTAACCTTTTATTGGAAAATAAAACCGTGATACAGAAAAAGTAAAAAACAGATCAACTATATGGCTTAATAGGTTGGGCTTCCCTGGTGGTTCAGATGGTAAAGAATCTGCCTGCAATGCAGGAGACCCAGGTTTGATCCCTGCATTGGGAAGATCCCTTGGACCAGGGAATGACAACCCACTCCAGTATAGGTTAATAAAAGGCAAACATCATTGTCACCCCTGCCCAGGTCAAAAAATAGAACTTCATGTATCCACTCTACTAACAACCTCTTCCTTTCAGCCCAAACAACATGTCATCCTGACATTTTTCTGTTTTTGGATGTGCTGTGCAGCTTGTGGGATCTTATTTTCCAAACCAGGGGTTCAATCCGAGCCTCCTGCATTGGGAATGCAGAGTTTTAACCACTGGACCACCAGGGAACTCCCCCCTCCTGACTCCTAGGGTGATCACTTCCTTGCCTTTTCTTTTTTCTTTTGAGCTTTATTACTCAAAGATGCATCCCTAGATTCTATAGTTGAATCCGGCCTATTAAAATTTTTCTGTACCTGGTTTTTAAGTCTCTTTTAATCTACAGTTTCCTCCTCCATCCTTTCATAAGTGTGTTAGTTGCTCAGCTGTGTCCGACTCTTTGTGACCCCATGCACTATAGCCCACCAGGAGCCTACTGAGTCTCCTGCATTGGCAAGTAGGTTCTTTACCACTGAGCCACCTGGGATGCCCATACTGGATTGGGGTGGGCCCTAAATCCAATGGGCTTCCCGAGTCGCTCAGTGGTAAAGAACCCACTTGCCAATGCAGGAGATGCAGGTTTAGACCCTAGGTCGGGAAGATCCCCTGGAGGTGGAAATGGCAACCCACTCCAGTGTTCTTGCCTAGAGAATCCCATGGACAGAAGAGGCTGGTGGGCTCAAGTCCATGGTGTCGCAGAATCAGACGTGACTTGGCAACTGAAAAGCCTCGCACTAAATCCAATATGCCTGGTTTCTTTGCAAGGAGGAAGGAGGAACAGACACACAAAGAAGACACAGGGAAGGCCATGTGAGGCAGAGGCAGAGACGGGGCTGATGGATCTACGCGCCAAGGGTTGCTAACAAGCAACCAGGAGAGAGGCCTGGAAGAGATGCTCCCTCAGAAAGAATGAACCTGATGACACCTTGATTTTGACCTCTGACCTCCAGAACTGTGAGAGAATAAGTTACTGTCTTTTTAAGCCACCCAGTTTGTGGCAATTGGTTGCAGCAACCTCAGGCAGCTAATACAGTGACTAGTATTTTTTTAAAATGTCATTGTGTACTTGAGGGTTTAAACAGATTTGATGGATTTAAGTCAGTTGTAATTATGACCCTGGTTGAAGCTCAAGCTGCTCCATTTGGGGCCAGTTGGGACCCTTTCCAGGTTGACTTCTAAATGCTTTTGAGATCACCAGGCTAGCTTCCTGGGGAACTGGTGTATTATGGACTGAATGTTTGTTGCCCCACAAATTCATATGAAGTCCTAACCCCCAGTGTGTATCTGGAAATGGGGCCTTTGGGAGGTAATAAGGACTAGATGAGGATAAGAGGATGGGGCCCCCATGATGGCATTAGTGCCCTTATAAGGAGATATCAGATAGCTTGCTCTCTCTCGCTCCCCCCACATGCACAGAAAGTTGACCCCAGTGATTGCAGGATGAGATGATGGCCACCTATAAGTCACCACTTATAAGCCAGGAGAAGAGGCCTTGGAATGAATCCTATATTACCAGCATTATGCTCCCTGGATCCAGCCTTCAAGAAGCCTCAAAAATACAACAGAATGAATGCATCTATTCCTCCCCCACCTAGAGAACTTCCTATTCAACCTTCAAAACCCAACTCAAATATTCCCTTTTCCTATGTGGATTGAAAAAGAGGACTGAAAGTGTTATGGTCCCAGGTCAGTGGGGACTCAGGCTGGCAGGGGGTGACCCAGCTGTGCTTACCTGCAGGAGAAGCTTTCGGTAGCGGTCATTGAGCAGCTCTGCATTGCTCTGCTCCTCCTCCAGCTCCTCTTCCATTTGCCCCAGGCGCCCCTCCAGCTGACGCTTTTCATCTAGAATGGCAGCCCTAGGGAGAACAGGCAGGGCAAGGTGGGGGGGAGGTGGGAGGGCAGGATGGCCAGAAGAGGGCGCCCTGCCCCACATTACCATGAGCCACTCACTTGCTTAGGCTGCCGTTGGCCACCTCATCTGCCATCTCATCCCTCTCCTGCTGGGCCTGCCGCCGGGCACGGTCAGAGGCGGCCAGTTCCTGCAACGAGCAAAATAGGCAGTTGTGGTGATGGAAGGCTGGCTGAGCACTGGCCTCCCTACCCCTCACGCCTCAAGTCTCTTGATCTTCTTTTCACTGCACTTAAACATACTACCCCTGGATAACCTTGGAATGAGCTTCAGTCTATAGGCAGATGTCTCCTATATCCATCTCCGCAGCCCCTGATCCGTGTCCATTTCTTGCTGCCCGCCCGCCAGGCTCCCTCACCGTCATGCCCTCCTCACTGAGCCCAGCATCTCTTTTCAGACCAGTTCCTCCTCCAGTTTACCTCAGTCATCGGGCCAGACCCACTCTCCTCCCCTCCTCTGCCCCCTTACCACCCACAGCCCTGTCCATCCTGCTCCTTCACTCTGACTGCTCCCTCTTCTGCGTCCCGGCTCAGGCTTCATCGTCCCTCTCCAGCCTCCCTGTCTCTATTCTCCCCGCTATAGCCCATCCCCACACCGCCCTCGTGGCTTTCTGGCTCAGGACCCTAGCGCGGCTCTGGAGCATCCCGGCCCCGCCCACCCTGGCCCCGCCCACCGCAACAGCACCCTCCTGAGCCCCGCCCACCCTGGCATCACCTCCTGCAGCCGCAGCACTTCCGCCTCTAGCCCCTTGAGGCGCTTCTCACTCTCCCGGTTCTGGGCAAAGATCTCCTCTCTTGAGCTGCGCGTCTCCTCCACCTCTCGCCACAGCTCCTTCATCTGGGCCTGAGCGGAACGGAGCGAGTGAGCGGGCCCAGCCAGGTCCTACCTCACAGAGAATCCCCCCAGCCCCGCTACCCTCGCAGTCAGCCCTGTGGGGGCTCCCCGTGAGCAAGCAGAGCCCTGAGGACTTGGGCTTCTACAGCCCGCTTCCAGCAGCTGGCTGTGTGACCATGGGCCGGTCCCCGCCCGCCCTTCCCCCCCTCCCCCACCCGTAAATCCATGGCTAATTCATTTCAATGTATAACAAAAACTACTGTAATGATGTAAAGTAATTAGCCTCCAACTAATAAAAATAATAAAATAAATAAATAAAACAAACAAAAAAAAGAAGCACATCAAAATTAAAGCAAGCGTAAAGTGGGGATAATTATGTGGACTCTGGAGTAACAATAGAGTTGGGAGGGACTTCCATGGCGGTTCACCAGTTAAGACTCCCGAGCTTCCACTGCAGGGGGCACGGGCTCGATCCCTGGTGGGGGAACTAAGATCCTCAAGTCAAGCAGCTCCGCCACAAAAAAGTGATGGAAAACACCGATCACTTACTTAGGGCCAGTCTCTATTCTGTACACATACTGACACCCTTAATTCTCACAACTCCAGTTGGTGGGGACTATTTTCCTACTCAGTTTACAGATAGAAAAACAGGTGCAGAAAGGTTCAGCAACGCACTCAGGGTGGTGAGTGGCAGAGTCACGACCTGAACCAGGCTGCCTGACCCTGGCGTTTACACTTTTGGCCACTTTACTACCTGACCACTATTTATTTATGTCCCCATCCAGCAGCATGTAGGGTCTTAGTTCCCTGACCAGGGATCAATCCTGTGCCTCCTACAGTGGAAGCGCAGAGCTTTAATCACTGGACCGCAAGGAAGTCCCAAACATTAAGCAATTTAAGTAAAGGAACTAAAAAACATAAAAAGAACCAAATGAGCCTTTGGGGCATGGATGTTTCTAGAGCTGTTGCCTAACGTGGGTGCTGCTCCTGGGATCGAGAGGGCGGGGTGCGAGCGTTGTTTGGAGCTGGAGCGAGGGCGGGGCCTCCCCTTTCCACGGCTTCAGCCCCACCCCTTACCTGCATCTTGCGAAGCTGCTTCACCGCCTCCTCCTTGCCCTGCCCGGCGGCCGTGGTCTGAGCCTTCAGCTCCTCTAGCTCGGCCTCCAGCTTCTTGCGGGCGGCTACGGCCAGAGCACGCTGCTTGCGTTCCTCATCGCGCTCCACCTCTGCGTCCCTCAACTGGGAGAGGGGAGGCCGGGAGGGGCGGGTTCAGGGGACAGGAGGCCCAGGCTCCCCTTACAGGCCAGTGGCATAGATGTCTACCCTCCAGCCCCTGCCCAGGTCTCCAGCCCCACTCCTCCTGCCCCTTGCTTCTCTCCACCTCAAACTCAAGCATCCTCTCCAACTTCACAGCCCTAGCTCAGGCCGTATCCCTCCCGCTTGCCCCAGCCTCCTCTTTGCTCCCACCACTCCCCTCCAGTCCATTCCTGAAGGTTCTAGAAGGGTCCTTCTACAATCACAGCTGACACTGCTCATGGCCCTCCTGTGACCGGCTTCCTGGTGCCCTCAGGACAAAATCATGCATGACCCATGGCTGGGTCAGTGGGGCCAAGGGAGATTTCAAAAGAAGCACTCAGATACTGCCCCCATCCTGGCCTTGGATCATCTCTTCATCACTTGCTCTGGGCTTCCCAACTCCAGTCCCCCCGCTCCAGTCTGCTGCCCACATGTCCCCACAGGGCTCTTTCTGATACTCAGGGCTAACCTGCCCCTCCCACGCTCAGCACACATCACGGAGTGAAAAGCCTTGCCCACAGACCACAGGAAATTCCTCCACTGAATGAAGAATGAATGAATGAATGTGCAGAGAGAGAAGTACGGAGTGAATGAGGAAGCAGGTGAAGAAATAAATGAAAAAGGGAGGAAGGTCACAGAAGAAGTGGGGTGAAGACAAGCTGGTCAATGAGCAGGTAAAAAATGGGTAAACGGGTTGGTTGGGGGTGTGGAGGAGGTGGGTAGATACTGGGGTGGTTGGGCTGGAGAGAAGAGGTTGATTGGAGCAGGTATTGAGTGGATGGAGAAGTCGGATGCAGAGTTGGTTGTGTAGAAGTGTTGGGTGTGTATGGGCAGTTGGGCGGTTGGCTCAGTAGATGGGATGGTGGTTGGGTGGACCGGTTAGTGGATGGAGGGTGTCTGAATGGGTCAACAGGATGTGCGTGTGGGTCACGGGTCATGGTGGGTGAGCGGGTCGGGGAACAGCAGGGTGGCTGGCTAGTAGGCGGGACTTGGGTAGAAACCGAGTCGCAGGCAGGTGGGTGAGACTTCCGGGCACGCCGAGCTGCGCGGCACCCTGCCTGTACCTGCTTGGCCAGCTGCCGCCGCCTCTCCTCGCCCGCCTCGTCGCGGCCCTGCAGGTCCCGCTCGTGCTGCGCCTTCAGGGCCTGCATGGTCACCTCCAGGCGCAGCTTGGCATCCTCGGCCGCCGTCAGCTCGTCCTCCAGCTCCGTCACCTGCGTTCGCAGGTCGCTGGCCGCCTGTTCGGCCACGCGGCGGGCTCGCTCCAGCTCATGCACCTGGGAGGCGAGTGGGCAGAACGAGAGTGAGCCCTGGGCCCCTGGACCACCGAGGAGGCAGGAGGCCAGGCCCGGAGCCCTCTGCTAGGCTAGAGGGGAGGGGAGCTTTGATAGACGAGGGGGAGGCAGCGAGATGACGTGTCCATCCTAGCTCCTTCTTGACCGCAGTCACCTACACACGGCACGGGCGGCTCTCCTGCTCACTGTGTACACGTGAGCAAGTGTGTTTAAGGGGAGAGTCCGCGCACATTTCGTGAACACACACCCGCACATGGATGTTTTCTAAGAAGCTCTCATGGTCAGCATGTGCACATATATATTTGCTGGAAGATTCTCCCCGTGTGCTGGGCCCATGAGCCGTTGCCTGTTGATACCTGGCTTTCCTCACTTCCCAGGTGTGTGCGTGAACACGTGTGTCTGGGACGCGAACACGGGGACTCTCCGACGCCGGTTCCCTTCACACACATGTGCTTATGTGCCCCAGCGTCACGGGCTGGGCTGGGGTGGGGGAGCGCGGTCGCCCACGTGTGTGTGTGTGTGTGTGTGTGTGTGTGTGCGCGCGCGCGTCCCGGGGACCCGGGGCCACTCACGCTCTTGCCGACGTCGTCCTTGCTACTCAGCAACGCCTCCAGCTCAGCCCGCAGCGCGCGGTTCTGCCGCTCGAGCTCTTCGCGCGCCTCCTGCTCCTCCTCCAGGGCCCGGGTCAGCGACAGTGTCCGGGCCTCGCGCTCGCGGCCCTCGGCCTCTGCCCGCTCCCGCTCCTCCACCGCCCTCAGGACCGCTGCCTTCTCCTCCGCCAGGAGCTTCCGGGGTGAGGGAGATGGGGTGGGGGAGACAGGTTAGCTGAAAGGAGTGTACAAGGGGACGGGGAAGAGAGAGGGGCCAAGGACGGAGAGACAGACAGACAGACAGAGGCAGAGACACAAGAGGGAAATAGAGGGATTAAAGTTGCCACTGGGTCCGGGACCAGCTCGCTCTTTGATGGATCACTCTGTTGATGGGAATGTAAATTGGCGCATCCACTCTGCAGAATAGTGAGGAGGTTCCTTAAAAAACTAAAAATAGAGTTACCATGTGCCAGAGTGCTGAGTCCCTTCAGCCCTGTGGGACTCCTTGTGACCCCATGGACTGTAGCCCACCAGGCTCCTCTGTCCACGGGATTCTCCAGGCAAGAATACTGGAGTGGGTTGCCATGCCCTCCTCCAGGGAATCTTCCTGGCTCTGGGATGGAACCTGAGTCTTCAGTGTCTCCTGCTTTGGCAGGCAGGTTCTTTAGCATTTGTGCCACCTGGGAAGCCCCAGAGTTACCATATGATGCAGCATTCCTACTCCTGGGCATAGAGCTAGAGAAAACTTTAATTCAAAAAGATACATATACCCCAGTGTTCACTGCAGCACTATTTACAATAGCCAAGACATGGAAGCAACCTAAATGTCCACAGATGAAGGGATGGATAAAAAAGATGTGGTCTATATATACAATGGAATATTACTCAGCCATGTAAAAGAATGAAATAATGGCATTTAGAGCAACATGGATGGACCTAGAAATTATCATAGTAAGCGAAGTAAACCAGACAAAGACAAGTATCATATGACATCACTTCTAGGTGAAATCTTTAAAAAATGATACAATTAAATGAATTTATTTACAAAACAGAAACAGACTCACAGATATAGAAAACAAACTAACAAACTTGTGGTTACCAAAGGGGAAAGGAGGGATGGACAGATTTGGAATCTGGGATTAACAGATATACACTACTATATATAAAACAGATAATTAACAAGGACCTGCTGTAAAGCACAGGAAACTCAATATTTTCTAGTAACTTATAAGTAAAACAATCTGAAAAAGAATATATGTATCATATATAAATATATGAATCACTCTGCTGTACAACTGAAACTCATGCAACAGTGTAAATAAACTACACTTCAAGTTTTAAAAAAATTAAATGAAAGGAAATTTTGAGCCAAAAAAAGGCAAAACCTTAAGTGGATCAAACTGATCAGCCCCTTGCTTTATATACCCAAGAGAAGAAAGGGTTTTCTTTCTTCCTCTTGTAGTCATAGTAGGAAAAAAATACATAAAAATTTAAAATGTACTTCAAACCTTCACTGTTTTTTTATGACATAGCAATTGATAAACAATAAAACCTATAAGACATGCAAATATATATATATTTATATGTATATTTGTTGCTGTTCAGTGGCTAAGTCATGTCGAACTCTTTGTGACCTCATGGACGGCAGCACGCCAGGCTTCCCTGTCCTTCACCATCTCCTGGAGTTTGCTCAAACTCATATCCATTGAGTTGGTGATGGTATCCAACCATCTCATCCTCTGTCATTCCCTTCTCTTCCTGCCCTCAATCTTTCTCAGCATCTGGGTCTTTTCCGATGAGTCAGCTCTTATATTTTTGGAAGAGGGTGTTTGCTATGACCAGTTTGTTCTCTTGGCAAAACTCTGTTAGCCTTTGCCCAGCTTCATTTTGTACTCCAAGGCCAAACTTGCCTGTTACTCCACGTGTCTCTTAACTTCCTGCTTTTGCATTCCAATCCCCTATGATGAAAAGGACATCTTTTTTGCTGTTGTTGTTGCTGTTAGTCCTAAAAGGCCTTACAGGTCTTCATAGAACTGGTCAACTTCAGCTTCTTCAGCATCCAGCGGTTGGGGCATAGACTTGGATTACTATGATGTTGAATGGTTTGCCTTGGAAACGAACGGAGATCATTCGGTTGTTTTTAAGACTGCATCCAAATATTGCATTTCGGACTCTTTTGTTGACTATGAGGGCTACTCCATTTCTTCTAAGGGATTCTTGCCCATGGTAGTATATATAACGGTCATCTGAATTAAATTCAGCCATTCTAGTCCATCTTAGTTCACTGATTGCTATGATGTCAATGTTTACTCTTGCCATTTCCTGCTTAACCTTATATGTGTGTGTGTGTGTATATATATGTGTGTGTGTGTGTATATATATATATACAACACAAATTATTTCTTTTAAAATTTTTTCAATGATCTATGGAATAGTATTAAACAAATGAACATATATGTATTTGGAGTTTGAGAAGAAGAGGGGAGAAAGAGAGAATGGGGCAGAAAAATATTTGAAAAAATAATGGCTGAAGATTTCCACATCTGATTAAGAACACTAACGGAAACCTGTTGGAAGCTTGGCAAAATGAATTAGAATAAATACAAAACCCCACAGCTGATATCATAGTCAAACTGCTAAAAAGCAAAGATAAAGAGAAAAAAGTCTGAACCAGCTAGAAAACCACATCACATTACCTACAGGGAAACCATGATTTATATGATTGCTAACTTTTAATCTGAAACAGTGGAGGCCCCAGAACATGGAATGATCTCTTCCCAGTGAGGAAAGAATAAAACCTGGAATTCAACAGCCAGTGAAAACAGCTTTAAAAAATGAAGGCAAAAATAAGGACTCTCCCATTTTCCAGATGAGGAAAATGAGGCAGAGAGATTGTGCAATTTGCCCAAGCCACACAGCCAGAAAGGGCCCCAATTGGGATGTGAACCTCAGGGTTGCCTGATCTTAATGCTCTGGGGATCTGAGAACTTTATTCCATTCTTACATTGTCAGATGCTCAGTATTATCCCCACTTCCAATTTTTCCTTTCTTCTTTTTTCTTTGGCTGTACTGTATAGCTTGCGGGATCTTAGTTCCCCAACCAGGGATCAAACTGGAGCGATGCAGTTCATGGGGTCACAAAGAGTCAGACACGACTTAGTGGCTGAACAACAACAACAGTAGTGAGAGCACAGAGTCCTAATCACCAGACTCCCAGGGAATTCCCTTATCCCCATTTTCTAGACGGGCAAACTGAGGCTGAAATGGGACAAACAGTTTGCCTGAGGCCCACAGTGAGTCAGCAGCAGAAGCAAGATGTGTTATTTCATTTCGCCTTCCTAAGTATACCCTCTGGTGTACCTGCAGGACACTTTTGGGAGTAACAGTGGGTACCAGCAGTAATTATTTGGGGGCAGGAGACATAAGCCAGGATCGATGGGCGTTCTATTCTACAGGGGCTCAGAGGGAAGAGGCATCTTGCCCGAAGGTCCTTGCAGATTCACAGCTGAGCTGTGACATCACCTGTTACTGATGGCTCACAATGACCGTGACGGGCAGCGGTGGTGAGCATCCCAGCTCCCCAGGTGGCTAACCCAAGGTGCCTCACCTGGTCAAACTTGCGCTGCTTCTTCTCCAGCGCGCTCACAAGCTGCCGCTGCTGCTCCAGATCCACCGTGGCATCGTCCAGCTCCTGCTGCAGCCGCCGGCGGCCCCGCTCCAGCCGCTCCACCACTTCTGCCTTTTCTGCCAGGCGCTGGTTCAGGGCCTCAGCCTCTCGGGCCGCCCGGCGCCGAGCCTCCTCCCCTGCCTCCAGGGCCCCTGCCTCCTCTTCCTGGCGCCGCCGCCACTCTGAGAGCTGGGGTTGGGGGTGGAGGAGAGAGAGGGAGGGTGGCACCCGTGTCTGTGACCCAGGTGTGAGTTGGTAGGGCCCCATTTCCCAGATGAAGAGACTGAGGCCCAAAGAGGGAAATGATTCACTCTGTTGGGCACTTCTGCCTGAAGAGTAGGGATGAGGTTGTGAGTTCTTGGAGCCCCAGTTCCTCTAGGACATTAAAATGGTTCCCACAGGACCCAGAAGATGAATCAGACGTGGGTTCTGTCCTGGGGAATCCCCAGTCTGATGGGGGAGACTGAGTGTCACAACCAGGGTGATAGAGGCTAAGGTAGAAATAGGGAAGCCACAGGTGTCCACCAGACGGGTTCAAAAATCTATTCAGAACATTCAAGAGACTTCCTGGAGGAGGGAGCATTTGTGATGGATCTTGAAGTATGCATAGGAGTTTTCCAGTTAAAGAAGGATATTCACAGGCACACATTCATCACTCATTCATTCAACAGGCATTTCTCAAGGCATCCCATACATCAGGTACTATGTTGGCTTAGGCTGGGGACCCAGATCTAACTCTGATGGGGTTGCACCTTCAAGGAGCTTTCAGTCTGGCGAGGGGGCTCATGGGCATTGCCAGTTCTAGCCAGTCAGGGTGACCGGAGTGGGGACAAAGGAGAAAGAAGGGTTATGGGAGCTCAGAGAGGGGTAGTGAGTAATTTCTCAGAACAGGAGAGGCGGATGCTAAGTCCTAAACACTGAAAAGCGTTTTCCCACATGAAGTGAGGAAAGAGAAATAAGAGATGAATACAGCTAACGATGAAAGAAGGCCCAGAGAATGCAGGGTTTCTGACAACCTGGTGAGAGGCATGGGTTTTTTCCAGGGCGGGTAGCTGGGGAGCCCTGGGAGATGTGTGACCAAGGAAAAGGCCGAATCCGCTCGGGCTTTAGAAAGACCACGTGAAGGATGAGCCGGAAAGGGAGAGATTAGAGGCAGGGAGGTTTGAAGGGAGGCTGAGAGGAGGATGCAGGTGACAGAGGATGAAGTTTGCACAGGGCTGGGGCTGTGGGGACAGAGAGGAGGGGAGCCTGGGTTGCAGCGGTCTGGCTTGCGACACACTGGCCCGTGGGGTCACCCTGTAAGCCAGGGACCCCAGGAGGAGCCGGGTGGGGGATCTCCCTGCAGGGCTGTTCACCTGGGCCTGGGCGGCCTGCAGCTCGCGGCCCGCCCGCCCCCTGGCGGTCGCTTCCTCGTCTAGCTGCTCCCGCAGCCCGGCTGCCTCCGCCTCCAGGGCTCGTGCCCGGGACCCCAGGGCCAGCTTCGCCCTGGTCTCCTCCTGCAGCAGCTCCTGAAGGTGGACGGGAGGATGATGTTTAGTGTGCGCAGGAGGGTGGGGGTGGGGGTCTGGGCTGGGGAGCGGGTGGTGAGATGGGGGCTGGGGTCACCTGGGCATCATGGAGCTGGGCCTCCATGCTTGTCAACTCCTTGCTCAGCCTGATGGCTCTGGACTCGGCCTCGCTCAGGGCTCCGGACACATTCTCGAGTTCAGCCTGTGGGGAAGGGGCGTCTTATAATGCCAGCTTCCTGCCAGCCAAGCCCCCTGCTTCCCTGCCTCCGATCCCCACTACCCACTGCTGGTGGGGATATAAAAGGGTGCGGCTGCCGCGATAATCAGTCTAGCAGCTCCTTAAAATGGTTAAATGCAGAGTTTCCATGTGAAAGTGAAAGTGTTAGTCATTCAGTCCTGTCTGACTCTTTGTGACCCCATGCACCATAGCCCACCAGGCTCCTCTGTCCATGGGATTCTCCAGGCAAGAATACTTGAGTGGGTTGCCATTCCCTTCTCCAGGGGATCTTCCCAACCCAGGGATCGAACCCTGGTCCCCTGCACTGCAGGCAGATTCTTTACCATCTGAGCCACCAAGGATGTCAAACCAGAGTTTCCACAGGGCCCAGCAATTCCGCTCCTGGGTCTGTATCCAGGAGAAGTGAAAACAAGTCCATGCAAAAGCCTGTACATGGGTGTTCACAGAAGCAGTATTCACAGCTGCCAAAAGGTAGAAACAACCCAAACGTCCATCCATGGATGACGGGATAAACAAAATGTGGTCTCGCTAGGCAATGGAATGTTATCCAGCCATAAAAATAATGAAGTACAGAGAGATGCTACAAAATGGATGAACCTTGACAACATTATGCTTTAGGTGAACAACATTATGTGAAGTCAGACACAAGACATGTATTGTATGATTCCATTTCTATGAAATGTCCAGAATAGGAAATCTAAAGAGACAGAAAGTAGATTAGTGATTGCTGGGGCAGGGGGTGAGATTGGGGGACCTTAACCCTAACTCTCGTAGAAGATTTCTTCCCAGGGCGATGAAAAGGTCCTAAAATTAGATTATGGTGATAAACGTACGCCTCTGTGAATATACTAAAACTCGTTGTTCCATTGCTCCATGGTGTCCAGCTCTTTGCAACCTCACGGACTGCAGCACACCAAGCTTCCTCGTCCTTCACTATCTCCTGGAGTTTGCTCCAACTCATGGCCATTTAATCAGTGATGCTATCTAACAGTCTCATCCTGCCCTCAATCTTTCCCAGCCTCAGGGTCTTTTCTAAGAGTCGGCTCTTCATGTCAGGTGGCCAAAGTATTGGAGCTTCAGCTTCAGCATTGGTCCTTCCAGTGAATATTCAGGGTTATTCCCTTTAGGATGGACTGCTTTGATTTTAAATGGGTGAGTTATACAGCGTGTGAGTTATATTTCAATAAAGCTGTTCTCCTGGTGCCCAAACCGCCACCACAATGACCCTGGATGCAGCTCCTGGCCTCATGTTCTCAGCAATGGACAGGTATTGGTCATTTAGTTAAAAACATAATACAATTAAAATAAAAAACCCACATCTCTCCTAACAACCACATTATGATATTTTCTACCTACAGGTTCAAATGTTCGCCCTGGGTTTTTCTAATCAGACCATGGATTATTTATGGCCAGAAGATAAGAAGGTGAAGGGTGGGCGCTGTGGCAGGGTTAAGAGCTGCAATCCAGTTAGTCCTGCCTGGATTCACGCTTTGGCTCTGAGGGACCTTAGACAACCAGCTTCACCTCCCTGGGCCTCAGTTTCCCTGTGTGTAAAATGGGAACAATATTAGCACTTCCTTCAGAGGGTTGGGAGGCTTTAATGAAAATACACAGGATGTTTGGTGTATGGCAACCACTCACCAGATACTAGCTGTTAATGTGTGATAATGCTGAAAAAGTTGGCATGGACAGCAGGGTTGATGTGGACCAAACCAAAGCCCAGAGGGGGCAGGCACCTCACCCAAAGCCACACAGCAGACACCACCGCTGAGCTGGGCGCCCCACTCACCTGGGCTCGCTGCAGCTTCTCCGCAGCCTCTGCTCGGGCCCGCTCCCCATCTCCCGCGCGGCCCTGCACCTCCTGCAGCTGGGACTCCAGGCGACGCCTCCGCTGCTCACCCTCCTGCCGCGCGGTCTGCAGGTTGCTAAGCTCCGTCCGCAGCTCAGACACTTCAGCCTCCAGAGTCAAGCGGGTCTTCTCCCATGTGCCTTTGCTCTGAGGTGGGAGAGCAATTTATGACTCCCTTTCTCTACCAGGCCAGGCACAGGCATGCCCCATGTCCTTTACACTATTTCCTCTGGAACCCCTCACCATTCCTTAAACACCCAGGCACATTCCTGCCCCAGGGCCTTTGCATTGACTGTTCCCTCTGCCCGGAACATGTTTCCCAGGATGCCAAGATGGGATCACCCTTCACTTCCTTCAGTTGTTTGTTTTTTTTTTTTTGATGTGACCGTATTTATTTATTTTTGGCCATACTGGGTCTTTGTGTCTTCGAGCGGGCTTTCTCAGGGTGTGGAGAGCAGGGGCTGCTCTCTAGGTACCATGTATGGGCTTCACATTGCCGTGGTTTCTCCTGTGGAGCATGGGCTCTAGGGCATGCAAGCTTCAGTAGTTTTGGCTCCTGGGCTCTAGCGCACAGGCTCAATAGTTGTGGTGCAAGGGCTTAGTTATCCCGAGGCATGTGGGATCTTCCCGGCCCAGGGATCGAACCCATGTCCCCTGCATTGGCAGGCAGATGCTTTACCACTGAGCCTCCTGGGAAGTCCCTTCCTTCAGTTTTTTACTCATAAGTCACCTTTTCATAGAATCTCTCCATGGCCTTCTCTATTTCAAATCACAAAATACCCCTCTCACCCCACTATTAGCATTCTGACCGCACTTTTTGTTCATTATTTTCCCATAGCACTTATAACCCTGATACGTACTATGAATCTGTTTGGATTGTTTACACTCCGCCTTTCCTGCTAAAACATCAGCTCCACAATAAAAGTGGGTACTGGTTGTCTGGTTCATACTTGGGGCCCTCAATATCATGCTGGGAACACAGCACATATTCAGCAAACGTTCGCTGAATGAAAGATGGATCAGGGGGGCTTCCCTGGTGGCTCAGTGGTAAAGAATTCACCTGCCAATGCAGGAGACACGGGTTCGATCCCCAGTCTGGAAAGATCCCACATGCCTACAGAGCAACTCAGCCCCGGGGCCACAGCTATTAAGCCTGTGCTTTAGAGCCTGGGAGCCACAACCACTGAAGCCTGGAAGCTCTAGAGCCTTGCTCTGCGACAAGAGGAACCACTGCAATGAGGCCCGAGCACTGCAGCTAGACAGCAGCCCCCACTCACCAGAACTAGAGAAAAGCCTGAGCAGCAGCGAGATCCAGCACGGCCAAAAATAAATAAATAAATAAAATTATTTTTTTAAAAAAGATGGATCAGAGACAGGAATACCTGAGGAGAGAAGGGGGCTGGCCTAGGGCCAGCCAGAAATACCTCCCCCACCCAGCATCCCACTTTGCCACCCCATGGCTCCCCAGAAACCCCAGCCCCGTCCCAACCCACCCTCCGGGCTTGCTCCAGCTGCTCCGCCAGCTCTCCCAGGGCCTGGCCATGGCGCTGCCGCAGCTCCTGCACTGCCACCTCGTGAATGCGAGTCTCCTCCTCCAGGGCCTTCTTCAACTCCGTCACCTCCTGCTCTCTCTTGGACCTTTTATTGGGGAAGGGGGATGGGGAATAGAATTTCAGACCAGAGCAAGACTGGGACTTCAGGGCAGTCCCCGCCAGCTGGCTGTGCCTCCTCTTCTTCTTTCCCTCCAAGGGTGGGGACTTCATTCTATATTCCTCGAGGAGTATGGGTAGTGATGCTGCAGGAGGAGTGTGGCTTTAAGAGTGAGCTCCTACGCATCTGTCAAAACCCTATTCAAAACACCCCTTCTCAAGGAAGTCGTCTTCAACTCCCTCCCACAGAGTGATACAGGGGTCTTCTCTGATCATCCACGATGGCCTGTCCTACTCCATTAAAGCTCACTTAGCTCTGGACTGGGTCTGTCTTTGCCTGAATCTGCCTACTCCTAGACTGGGAGTTCCAGAGGGCAATGCCCGAGTCTGATCCATTTATGTCCCCAGCTTGGTCCAGAGCCAGTGCCCAGAAAACAACTGGTGAATGACTCAACATCTGTGCAGATGGAGAGTTTGGACCCATGTCCTTTTCCTCTCTTCCCAACCCGGCTCCACAGGTGTTCAACTGGTGCCAGCTGCCAGCCGCCCAGCCTCACCGGAGCTCCTGCTGCGCGTTGGTAGAGTCCAGCGTGTCCTCCAGCTCGCCCCGCAGTGCCTCCAGCTCCTCACCCAGGTCCCGGCGCTGCTTCTCCGCCTTGGCCCTGGCCGCACGCTCGGCCTCCAGGTCCTCCTGGGCCTCGGCCAGCCCAGCCTGCGCCTCCCGCAGGGATTTGAGTAGCTGGGCCCGGGCTCCACCCTCTTCCTCTGCCCTGGGGGTGGACAAAGACCAAGGGGGTTCACAGAGGGACAGGCAGGGGGCGGAGGGACGAGACACGGCCAGTTCCAGATTCGAATCCCAGCTCTGTCCTTGGACACAAGCCTCTAGGACTCAGAGTCTCGACTTCCCTAGCTGTAAAATGGGGATGACACCACTGGTATCACGAGGATACTTACTAAGTTCCCTCCACTTGAGAGCCCTTTGCCTTATCATCCCATGTGATGTTCATGCCACGCAGGAAACTGGGGCACAGAGTGGGAAAGTACTTGCCCCGGTTACATGGTCAGTAGGTGGCTGACCCCTGAGCCCCTCCTCATGACCCCTCCGGGATCGAGCTCTTGCAAAGAGGAGCCGAATGGAGGGGCAGTGTGGGCTGCAGGTTAGACAGCTCAGGGAAATATGCTGACCACAGTTTGTGTCCCCTGCTTGGCCACCTGCCCTGGCAAGTGACAAGCTCTCTGAACTGCAGGCTCCCAGTTTGTGAGATAGCATGACTGCCCACGTCACAGGGCTGCCACGAGAATGGCAATGGAAACAGTAATACAAGTGCCAAAGGCTACATGTTACACAATTCCACTTATGAGAAGTAGCAAGGACCAGCAAATCTAGGTGGCCAGAAAGCACACTGGTGGTAGCCAAGGGCTGAGGGGAGGGGGCAGATGGGGAGTGAGTTTTTAATGGGACTTTTTTCTGAGGTGATGGCAGTGATTGCACAGCATTGTGAATTACCAAACACCACTCAGTGGAATGCTTTAAAATGGTTAATTTTGCTATGCGAATTTCACCTCAATGCAAAAGGAAAAAACAGTAATAATGGAAAGTAGGAACAGACACACCACAGTATCAGTTGAGGCTTTAGGGTGTGCCAAGCATGTCCTCAGTGCTTTCTTATTTAACCCCCACACTAACCCTGGGCTTCCCAGGTGGCTCAGATGATAAAGAATCTGCCTGCAACACAGGAGACTCGGTTTCAATCCTCGGGTCGGGAAGATCCCCTGGAGATGGAAATGTCAACCCACTCCAGTATTCTTGCCTGGGAAATCCCATGTACAGAGGAGGCTGGTGGGCTACAGTCCATAGGGTCACAAAGAGTCAGACACAACTGAGCAACTATCACACTAACCCTGGGAGAGCTTCTATAATCACCCCCATTTTCCAGATGGAGAAACTAAGACTTGAGAGGTGATGTTACTCGGGTAAGGTCATGTGGCCAGAAAGGGGAGGAGCTGGGATTTGAACTCAGCAGTCAGGCTGGAGGGTGCACGTTCTTAACTCTCCCCACCAACCCTGTGTCCCATTGATTCTGCAATGCACATTTCCCCAACATTGTAGCTGCTCTGAATTCCAGCTGCATCCATACACAAGGGCGCCTAAGGTCACAAGGGTGAAAAGCATCTGAAACAGTGCACGCCATATCTGGCACACAGTAAGCGCTCAATAATTGTGAATGACTGACATTATGATGATTATGACACCTAAGACGGCCAGATCACTTATATAATCACAGCGGATTCTAAGTTGTTCGGCTTTGAGAAGCTGGGGGATGGGGGTGGGGAGAAGAAAATAAAAGCATTTTCTGCCCTCAGTGCAAGAAACTGTTAAGTTACTAGACACGCAGGGCCAGCTTTCAGTTTTCCCTTAACCAGGCGGGCCTGGAACTCTGGCTGTGTCCACCTTACGGAAGGGTACACTGAGGCTCTGTGGGTGAGCGGGTCTCAGCCGGGCGCCTCCACCGCCGCTAGGCGGCGCCCTCGTGCGGCGCGCNGGGAGGACACACAACCTGTCCCCAGCCTTCTTTCCTGCCCCCATTTAGCAGATATGACTACTGAGGCCCCACAGCACATGAGGGTTGTCCCTCCCATTCCACCCCCACCCCTACTGGAGCGTGCATAGGCCCCCCACTGGAGGGGCGCAGGAGCTCACCCTCCATGTCTGCAATGGTGGCCTCATATTTGAGTCGAAGCTTATTGAGGCTCTTTACTTTCTCCTCCTCCTCAGCTGCCTGGGATGAGAACTCAGACAGACGCTCCTCCAGCAGCTTCCGCTCCTGAGCATAGTGGGAGGTGGGGGTGGGAGTCAGGGGCTCGACACTCATCTTGGGTGTCATTCCCATCTGTGTTTCTGCTCACCTCCATCCTTCCCTGACCCTTCCTGCTCCCACCCCCTTCCCTCCTTTCCCCTCCTCCACTGTCTATGACCCCATGCCACCCCCATCAGTTCTTGGACTGTTAACTGCATACGCTCCCACTATTGGAAGGATACCCCCATTCATTAACCCATCGGCCCTCGGATGTATGCTCAAGTTGATTCACATCACCTGCTATTATAAACAACATTGCACTGAACATCCTTGCACTTCAGCTGCCTGCACCGGTGAGCTCTGGAGCCTCGTCACTACTCCAGGTCCGATTCATGGACCAGCGCATCAGCACCAAATGGGAGGTTGTTAGGAATGGAATCTCGGGGTCCCCCCCCAGACCTGCCGAGTCAGAATCTGCACTCTAACAAGTTCTCCCTGTGATTCTTGGGTACATGGGAGTTTGAGAAGCACTGGCTGGGAACAGCACTTTTTTCTTTTCTGTCTTTTTATTATTTTTTATTTATTTTCATTATTTATGTATTTTTTGAGCAGCATTTTCCATACTGTGAGTGGTTTTGGAAATCTAGGCAGTGGATTGGCACTACCTTAAAAAGGAAGACATAGAACAGTGTAGGAGAGAAGAGCCATTGCATTCAAGGAATGTTCCAGAAAACTCCTGTGCATCGTTGAGCTCTCAACTCAGGCACTACTGCCTCCAGGAAGCCTGTCCTGACCACGCCTAGTGCAGGTCAGAGCATCCCCTTCCACAGTTTTCTGTTCTTTTCTGACAGTTTATAATTATTTCACAATGTATGATTATGTTGATTTCCTGGGGTGACTCAGCTAGCATCCCCCTTGCCCCTGACCTTGTGAAGAAGACTGAAATGTTTTTCTAGTTAGTTAAATGCTATATTTCCTGTGCCTAGCCCAGGGGTTTAACCCTGGGCAGGTTAAAGACAGTGGCAGACTCTTCACCACATCCCCAGCCATGGGCAGAGTCCAATTCTCCACCCCTTGAATCTAGATTGAGTCTGCTTTAAGCTCAATGGTCTGCATATCACAGCCTGCAGGCCAAACCTGGCCCACTGCTTGTGTTTATAAATAAAGTTTTATTGAGATGCAGCCACGCCCATTTGATCACAGACCATCTGTGGCTGCTTTCACATTACAAGGGCAGAACTGAATGGCTGTCACAGAAACAAAGCAGCCTGCTGAGCCCCAAATGTTTACTATCCGGCCTTTTAGAGAAAACCTTTGCCAACACCTGATGTATAGAATTCAGAGAAAGTGATGTCAGTTCCAGGCTTAAGCCTTTAAGAGGCCTGGTTGCTTCTGCTTCTTTTTCTAGGAGCTGTGAGCTGCCAGATGAGAAACCCGGGCTCTCCTGTGAGCAGAGAGGCCGCATGAAGGAGCACTCAGGCACCACCTTCCAGCCCCTGCCATCATGTCATGGCAACTGCCTAAGGGGACCACAGCCCAGCGGACCCACAGAACAATGGGATGTAATGAAATGGGGGTTGTTTTTAGCAATGAGGCTTTGGGGTGTCTGATGACACAGAGATAATGACTCACAATAGCTGCTCAGTAAACACTGGCTGGAGTGAGGCTGTGACAGAGAGGCTAGGAGATGGGAAAAGTTCAAGGGAGACACAGCCAAGATGGAGAGTCCAAAGACTTCTAGAGGTGGGGCATGCTGGGGGTGGGAGATGCAGAGAGGGACCCAGCCCACCAGTGGGCCCACACCCTCCACCCTTGGGGGCTCACCGACCTTGCTCAGTTTGGCGTTCTGATCTTCCAAGAGTAACAGATCTTCCCCCAACTTTTTCAGCTTTGCCTCCGTCGTCACCTTCTCCAGCTGTAGCTTCTGCCGGGCCCCTTCCTCAGCCTCAAGGTGAGTCTCCAGTTCCTGGAGTGTGGAGGAGGTGGGGTGAGGACCCAGAGGCTGGGGACTGGGGTGTGATGAGAAGGATTGGGGTGGTGGGGATGGCTCACAGATCCCCAGGGCGTGTGGCTCAGACAGGGCCACACTTTGGGTGGGGCTGGGAAGGACCCAACCATTACTTTCATTCATTGGCTCAATAAACATTGATTGAGTGCCTGGTAGGGGGGCCAGGCACTGTTCAATGCATAGAACCTGGTGCCCAGGATACAATATCTATACCTTGTCTACACTGTCTGCATAGGTATTTATACACAATATCTATACAGGATACAGATATTATATCCTGGGGACCAGACAAGGTATCTGCTTATCCCTATCTAGTATACTTCAATTACCTGCTAGTCCTTTATTTATTTTTACATTACAAATTATAATTATTTAAACAAAGCAATTGGGACTTCCCTGGTGGTCCAAGGGTTAGGACTCCTCACTTCCAATGCTGGGGGCATGAGTTCAGAGGCATGGGGGGGTGGGGTCCCTGGCTGAGAACTAAGATCACGCACGCCATGTGGTGCACCAAAAGATAATTAGACAACCAGTCACATCTTCCTGCAGGGACCCAGGGTCACCTCACTCTCTCGTTACTACTAAGCCTGCCTCCCCCAGCAGCAGCTGGTTCACTGCGTTCCTGAGTACAACCCCACCGTGACTCTCTGTCACAGTGGCTGCCTCCCTCAGGCTGCGAGTATTTGTGACCAGTAACCTGCTTTCTTGCACATCTTGTCCAGGATCAGGTGTGGTGTGTGAGGCCATCTCCATAACCTCAGGGTAGGGCTCTCCCTCTCCAATGGGGTCAAGAGGCGGTGATTAAAACACTACTGAGTTCTCAAAATGTGACCAGTCTGACTGAGGAGCTGGATTTCCAATTTAACTCAGCTTCTCTTAAATTGAAAACCACTCAGTTAATTATTGGCAAACTTTGAAGTATGTTTGGCCCAACTAGGGGATGTGAATCTACTTGTTTCCACTGAAGAAGTCATGAAGCACAAATGCCGATGAAGTCCTGCCAGTGAGAATTCAGCATCTGAACTGAGATGTGCCTTAAGCATAGAACACATCTGTGGGTTTTGAAGGGGAACCACGGGAGGGCAGCCAGCCTCGGAATGCAGCAACACAGAGGCAAACAGAGCCAGGAGATGGAGAGAGGCAGGGTACTGAGGCGACTGCTTGAGCACCTGGATCCAGCCATGCCTGAAGCTGACCCATGCCAGTGCCTCCCATTATTTGACCCGAACAAACAAAAGTAGTCTTTTTGCTTCAGCCACTTTGAACTGAGACTTGTTTTTAAGAGGCAGGGTTTGCAAAAGCAGAGGTGGGTGGGGTCAACAGAAGGGGTGGGAGAGGCGCCCCGGGCACGCAGGCAGGGGGGTGGGGTGGGCAGACCTGTATATGTTGCTGCAGCCGCTTCTTCTCGGTTTGCAGCTGGCGACTGCACTCCTCCTCCTCGCCCACGCGGGCCTCCAGCTCGGACACCACCAGCTCGAGCTCCTGCTTCCGGGCTGCTAGCCGCCCCCGGGTCTCCTCAGCCTCAGCACACAGCTCTGCCTCTGCGCGCAGCTGCTCTGCCAGGCGGGCACGCTCCTCTTCCAGCTGGGGACGGGGTGGAGGGGGGTCAGCGGCTGTTAGGCAGTGCTCCCAGGACGGCCCTCCGCGGAGCACTAGGGTCTCCTGCCCCCTGATCTAGTCTGCCCTGGGAGCCTGAGGCGGGCAGGAGGGAGGGATGGAAGACAGTCCCCCAACCTGCCCGTCATCTCAGGATGAGCCCCAGTCACCGACTCAGCCCTCTGGGTTCCTCCGTCTCCCTCACTTCCCTATAGTCCGTCAGTCCCCCTCCATCCCTCCTGCCCTGCCACCCCACTCTGTCCCCATAACCCTAACAGGCTCAGGTTTCATCCTCTCCCAGTGGACTCTTCCCAGCCTCCCAGCCTCCAGCTTCTCCATCTCCAGTCCATCCTCCATACAAATGGCCTCTGGAGGACTTTCTGTCAGCTCACATTGCATTTACTACTCCCACGCCAAAAAATTCAACCAAAGGAAATAACTCCAAAAAAGCAAACAGAAAAAATGAACGAGAAGGGCTTTGCTTCGGCGTTATTTTAAGATACCAGAAATACTGGCAACAGTGAAAGGTCCACCGCCTGCGGAGGGCGGCCCCATCACGAAACTGGGCTCCTGCCCTGACCCCGTGCTAGACCAGCTACCTGAGCATCTCGTCTCAGCAGCACCAGCCCCACTCCCACCAGATACCCTGGCTACATCCCCAGGACCCTGCTCCCTGCATCTCACTGCTCACCACAGCACAGTTTCCGCCCCCATTCCGCCCCTGTGAAACTCCGCCGGCAATCTATTCCTGCCGCGGGCTCCGTCGGAAGCCCCGCCCACAGGCCCCGCCCACCGCCCGGTGGCCCCGCCCCTTACCTGCGCCACCCGGCCCTGCAGCTCGCCCACCTCGCGGGCACTCTGCTGCTGCAGCTCCTGCACTTTCTGTAGTTCCTGAGCCCGCGCCTGCAGCACCTCATCCTGCCGCGTTACCTGCAGCAGCGGCTTCACCTGTGGGGACAGGAGGGGGTGTGGATGGCTGGCTCCCACCGTGGGAGGCCACTGGGCTTGGAAGCTAACAGCTCACACTCTGAGGGGAGCCCCATTCCTGGGTTCTCATGCCAGCTCCTCCACTTCTGGCTTTGTCACCTCATCTATAAAAGTGGGGTGAGAGGGGCTTCCCCGGGTGGTCCAGTGGTCAAGACTCAGCCTTCCAATGCAGAGGGCACAGGTTCAATCCCCTGGTCAGGGAACTAAGATCCCACATGCCCACTGGTTTGGCCACAAATTTAAAAAAAGAAGAAAAAGACTGTGCTTTCAATGAAGGGGGTGTAAGTTGGATCCCTGGTCGGGGAACTAAGATCCTACATGTCCCTCGCTGGGGCCAAAAACCAAAAAAAAAAAAAAAATTGGGAATAATAACAGCCCCTATTTCACAGGGTTTTCAGAATGCATGAATGACTTCATATTTACCAAGAGTCTAGAACAGTCCAGGGTACATGACAAGCAGCACTAAATGTGCCCCATTTTGCTACAGGATCGCTTTGCCTACAGCAGCCACTGGCCACTCACAGTTTGCCTCAAAGTTCTTAGTCCAAGTCCGTGGTGAAAGACGCACTTTACACTGTGTGATTCTGGCTGGAGAGACAGGCCAGCCCCACCCACACCTGAAGAACCCAAATGGAAGTTTGGGCTGTGCCCCGTGCACCTTTAACCTTTCCTGACTTTAATGTCCATCCTTTCACTGTAATAAACTGTAGCCATGAGTCTAACAGCTTTTCTAAGTTCTGTGAGTCCTTCCAGTGAATCATTGAATTCTAGGGAATCTTAGGGACACCCAACTCAACCCCAGACCCAGCCGCACCTAAAGCTGTCCCATATCTATTACCCATGCTGCTTTGAGTCAGATTTTCTGTCACTTGTTAACTGAAGAATCCCAAGGAACAAGAGTTGGGATGATTGGTCCCATTTTACAGATGCAGAAAACTGAGGCCCAAACCAAGGAAGTCACTTGCCCAAGCAGATCTGGCCCCAAGGACCTGTCTCCTTGTCACTGGGGTCACCCCTCCAGGTGCCCTCACCTTGATGAAGAGCCGCCACCACTGCCAGTGTCTCAGCTTGAGGTAAGCCGCACAGTTCCGCTGCATCACCCTCAGGGCGCTCTGCTGCTGCTGCCGCTTCTGGAAGGCCCTGAGTGGGGAGACAGGCAGGTGGGAGAAGGGAGACCTGGCTCCTCCAGGCCCTTCCCCTTAGCAACCATTATTAAATGCCTACTGGGCTTCCCAGGTGGCGCTAGTGGTAAAGAACCTGCCTGCTAATGCAGGAGATGAAAGAGGCTTGAGTTTGATCCCTGGGCTGGGAAGATTCCAACCCACTCCAGTATTCTTGCCTGGAGAATCCCATGGACAGGGAAGCCTGGTGGGCTACATTCCATGGGGTCGCAAGAGTCAGATATGACAAGCAACTTAGCCCCACCAGCCATGGGCATTGTTCTATTGTCGGTAAATCTTGTGTGCAGTCCATCAGTCTTTCTACCCTTGACTCTGGCCCCACAGCCCCAGCCCCAGTTCAGATCTCACTTTCTACCCTACCGGATACCCCAGCTTCCTTCCCAGCCTCCAGCCCATCCTTGACATGCTTCCAGAGAGGTCCTTCTGCGTCCACAGCTGACCCAGCCCTCTGCTGCTCCCCACTGCCCCCAGACACAGTCCCTGCCCCTCAGCCTGGTGTCTGGGGAGTCCTTTAGTCTCTGATCCTTCCTCTGGGCCAGTTCCCAGGGAGAAGGGAACTTTCCTGAAAACTCCCTGCCTTCCTGAAATGTGCCAGGCTCTCACATCACCAGGCCTTGGCAGGCTGTCACTCCTGCCTGGAACACCTTTCCCATGGTCTTTCAAGAGGACCTGGTCTGCAGGGCCTCTCCCTGTAGCTGGACGACTCCCACTGAAGCACATCTCACCCTGGACTGTGACACTTTGTGCTGGCGTATGTCTCCCCCTCTAGATTGGAGTCCCTTGAGGTATCAGCCACTAGGGTGACCACCTCAACCCGGTTTGCATGGGACTTCATGTTTTAGCACGAAGATCATGCATCCCAGGAAACCTCCAGTTCCAGGCAAACTGGGATGCTTGGTCACCCTATGGCTGAACTGAGCGCTTCCGTGTGGTCCCAGCATCACTCAGAAGCCTCAGGGGCTGTAGAACCAAGAAGCCTAGGTGTCTAGTGGTTCCATCCTTTTGTTTCTCAGCCCTTCTACCATCCCAGAGGCCCTGCCATCTGGAGCCAGCTGGTCAACTCCTTCCTGCAGCACCACTGGGGATATCTGGTCAACCCCTCCCTGAACCAGCCTCTGGGGACATCTGATCAACCCTCCCTAAACCAGTCTTGGCCAATGTGACCCCAAGAGATAGTGTGGAGCCCTACTTGCGAGCCAGGTATCCCCGGGCAGCTGCCTGGAAGGACACGATGATATCTGTGACCTTCAGGTCCCGTTCTTCTTCTAGCTGGGCCAGAACGCCTGCCCGGAAAAAGATCTTGCTTTGTCCCACGCGGTAGAGGTTGGGGTCCAATTCTAGGGCCTGGATCTGTGGGGGTGGGGTGGGGTTGTGAGGAGGAGGGGTGAGGAGAGGGGAGGTTTCCAGCTCAACCTCCACCGCTTGAGACCATGCAGACACACACACACACACACACACACACACACACACACACACATACACACACACACAGAGTTGCATTCCACCTCTCACCTACCATCTTCTCACAGGCCTGCTTCCCATCCATAAAGCCCTTGGGGATGGCATTGGGTGTAAGGATCTCATACCTGCAATGGGGAGAGAGGGGTAGGGTAGGGTGAAGAGTAACAGCAAGCTGTCCCCATGGCCAGGCACTGGGCTCAGAGGGACAAACAGCGATAACAACAATGACAACAGGAACAGTCAGAGAAAGAAACATTCCAATATCACCAAGGGTCGCTCACCAGGCTGGGAGCATTGATATCACCAAGAGCAATGTCATCAATAAAAGCTCCCCTCCTGGGATACACCATGTGCTGATTACAAGTTTTAATTACACCAACACCAAAGGAAACTGGGGCTTCCCAGGTGGCACTGGTGGTAAAGAACTCCCCTGCCAATGCAACAGACTAAGAGACCTGGTTTGATCCCTGTGTTGGGAAGATCCCCTGGAGGAGGAAATGGCAACCCACTCCAGTATTCTTGCCTGGAGAATCCCATGGACAGAGGAGCCTGGCGGGCTACAGTCCATGGGGTTGCAAAGAGTTGGATGCAACTGAAGCGACTTAGCACGCACACACGCACGCAAGCATGCGTGCATAGGTCATTGAGATGTAAAAGGTGTGTCCTGGAAGTGTAAGAATAATAACAAATGGGGGCTGATGTTTTTGAACTTTTTACATGTCAGGTCCTCAGTTAAGTGCCTTACAGCTGTTTCTTTCACTTTTCTCTGTGCAAATCCGAACTTGTGTCCATTTCATTAAACACATACGTGTCCATCCTCAGAGCCTTTCCCCTGCTGTGCCCTCTCCCTGGATCATGACATTTCATTAAAAACAATGGATATGATATATACAACATACACACATACATATACATCATACACATGATATATTAATGTCATATATTCATATGCCATATTTTTTAACTGGTGATTGGGAAATGTGTGTGTGTGCATCTGTGTGTATCAGAGTTTCTCAGTCACCAAGGATCCTGTTAAAATGCAGATCCTAATTCAGTAAGTCTCGGAAGGGGCCCCAAAATATGCATATCTAATAAGCTGCTGGGTGATACTGATGCTGCTGACCCAGGGACCACATTTTGCGCAGGAAATTGCAGACCTGAGCTGTCCAATGTACTGCTATTGGCCACATGCAACTGCTGGGCTCTGGAAACATGGTTGGGGCGATTGTGGACCTGCATTTGTGATTGCGTTTCATTTTAATTAAACGAAACTTAAATTTAAAAACTAAAGCAGTGCAAAATATTTTTCTTTTCAACACAATTTCATTGTCTTAATAGGAGTATATTTCCCTTTGACCCCTGGAAATTTTGTGTCCAAACTGAGATGTGTTATGGGTGGAAGACATACACTGAATCTCAAAGATTCAGTAAGAAACAAAATAATGCACAATGTCTCACTACTAAATTTTTATGTTGATTACATGTTGTGTGGGTGCTCGGTCGTGTCTGACTCCTGTGACCCTATGGACTACAGGTAGCCTGCCAGGCTCCTCTGTCCATGGAATTTCCCAGGCAAGATTACAGGAGTGGACTGCCATTTCCTTCTCCAGATTACATGTTAACATGATCTAATCTCTTGACTGTATTGGATTACATAAACTCTCTTGTTATCATTAATTCCCCCTGTTTCTTTTTATTTTTAATAATATGGCTAATAGGAAAATTTTTAATTGCATATGGGGCTCTCATTCTCTAGCGAATGATTCTGCTACATACAGCGTGTGTAAAGCATAACTTTTACTGTATATATACTGTATATATACATCCACATAAATATCATATACATAAAATATTAACATCATGTATCAATGTGCTGTAGTTTCTGTTGGTGATTGAGAAATGTGTGTATCAGAGTTTCTCAATCACCAGGGATCTTATATGTTGATATTTTCTGTTCTCTCTTGCTCGACTGCCTTTTTATAAGAAATGGTTGTTGCGACTGCAACATAGTGCTCTATGCCCTTTCTCTTGGGGAGCCCACGGAAAGGGACGTTGCTCTCCCAAGCACAGACTCAGCAACCAAAGGAACGCGCCCAGAGGCCCCGCCCCTCCCCTCGCGCCGAGGCCCCACCCCCGCCCCGCCCAGAAGTAGTGGCGCGGGAGAGGGTAGCTTTGGATGCAGATACGGTGTCTTCCAAACCGGGCCCCGCCCCACCNGACCCCATAGATGGCAGCCCACCAGGCTCTTCCATCCATGGAATTGTCCAGGCAAGAACACTGGAGTGGGTTGCCATTTCCTTCTCCAATGCATGCATGCATGCTAAGTCGCTTCAGTCATGTCTGACTCTGTGTGACCCTATGGACAGCAGCCCACCAGGCTCCTCTGTCCCCGGGATTCTCTAGGCAAGAATACTGGAGTGGGTTGCCATTTCCTTCTCCACAAGACATCACTGATAAATGTCAAAAGTAAATGGTTAACAGCATTAAGTGGCAAAGAGCAGAGTAGAGGGGAAGGAGCGCAAGAGGGCTGAATTTGCATAGTGTAGTCTAGGAAGGTGAACAAAGCACGTGCGTTATTATTTTTGGTAGTTAACTTTCAAGGACTTCCCTGTTGCTCCAGTGGCTGAGACTCAGGGCTCCCAATGCAGGGGGGCATAGTCTGATCACTGCTGGCAGAACTAGATCCCATATGCTGTCACTAAGACCCAGTGCACCCAAATAAATATATAAATATTATTGTTGCTGTTGTTTAGTTGCCAAGCTGTGTCCGACTCCTTTGTGACCTCACGGACTATAACCCACCAGGCTCCTCTGTCCATGGGACTTCCCAGCAAGAATACTGGAGTGGGTTGCCAGTTCCTTCTCCAGAGGATCTTCCCAACGAGGGATGAAACCCTCGTCTCCTGCATTGGCAGGCAGATTCTTTACCACTGAGCCACCAAGGAAACCCAGGAAGTGTTCACCTCCTCCAGGGAGCCCTCCCTGATTGAACTGTATCCCTACAACCTGGCACTTAGTAAAAATCTAAACACTACAAAAATTATGCATTCTAAAAGACAACTCTTGCCTTGCCCAGGCCCCCAGAGTAGTCAACACAATAACCAGTTTTTTTATGGAACCTCTAGATCAGCTGTTCTCAACCTCAGCTACACACTGGAATTCCCCTGGAGTGACACCTTGATACCACTGAGCACACCAAACACCCACATCTTAGACTCTAAGCGCCATTTTCCACTTAAAAGGACCAGGGCTCTATGGAGAAGCGGCTGAGTCTGTGTATGCCATATTTCATCAAATATAAGGCACCCTAAATTATAAAACACACTATATCACCAAGAAAGAAAAACTCCTGTCAATTATACTCTGACAGGTTGATTGTTAAGCCACATTCCAACTTCAGAGGGGCTTCCCAGGTGGCACAGTGGTAAAGAATCCACTTGCCAATGAAGGAAATGCAAGAGATGTGAGTTTGATCCCTGGGTTGCGAAGATCCCCTGGAGTAGGAACTGGCAACCCACCCCAGAATTCTTGCCTGGAGAATCCCATGGACAGAGGAGCCGGGCGGGCTATAGTCCATAGGGTCGCAAAGAGTTAAACAACTGAGCAACTAACAAACGCCCAATATTACAGAGATCGGAGACGCACACAGAGCCACCTCCCCAATAACTGCAGCTCCTACCTTCTGAGGACAGTATGAGCCCCAAGCACCCGATTTTGTAGTTTCATCTTCTCTTATGTTGACCCTTCTCTACAGGGTCAGTTCTCTGATTTTCCCAACTAGAAAACTTATTGATAGCCTGGGAGGCCAGGCATGGTCTCCCTACACCTCTCCCCAGCTCCAGTGGCCTTTTTTCCAACCCCTGCAAAATTCATACTCCCACCAACTACTAGGTTTTTGCACAAGCAGCTCTCTGCTTGAAATACCACTTATCCATCCAAGCTCAGACCTCACCTCCTCCAGGGAGCCCTCCTTGATTTCACTGTATCCCTACCACCTGGCATTTAGTAGGTGCTCGATAAAATGTAAGCCCCATGAATGAATGAATTTTCCTAACAGGGCCATGAGCCTGGGAGGGAAAGCAACGTACTCAGGTCACACAGACAAAAGTGAGCCTGGGACCAGACGTAGCTCCAACCAAATTCAGTGACTGGGACTTTCCCTCCCTCCACAGCCATCTCCCCTCCCCGGGCTGGGTCACTCACCCTCTTCTCGTGGTTGGGAATGATACAGCGGACGAAGCTGGGGTTGGTGTTGCTGAGTGTGGCCATGAGGCGGCTCAGGGACTCCTTGTAGAGTTGTCCCACTGTCCGGAACATGCCCCGGCGAGGGCGGCCACCAGGTGGGCCATCCCCAAGGCTGTTCACTTGCTCCAGCCCCACAATGCCCTCCACTGTGGGAGAAAGAATAAAGTCAGGGGTCAGTTTTAGGGGACTGAATTGGCCAAAGTCAAGGATCTCATTATTTATAAGACCTGATATTTTACATATGAACCATCTCTCATAGACTAGCAAGGCAGGTATTATCAGCCCATTGCACTGATGAGCAAACTGAGGCTCAGAAAGCTGGGCAACTGTGCCCAAGGTCACACAGTTTAGGATCTGAAGACCCAGGATCTGAACCAAAGTGGTGTGAATCCTCTCAAACCCTGACCCTTCTTCTCCATTTTCCTTATCAACAAATGATGATGATGATAGCAAATGCTTCCTTAGCACTGACTTTCTGCCAGGTTCTGCTCAAAGCACTTGACATGCATCGGCTTGTTTATAAGCCTATAAGAGTCATCTCCATTTTACAGATGAGGAAACTGAGGTACCGAGAAGGAAAAGGGCTATAACCACAGGTGCATTTTTAGGAACTTAAAACAGTGTCATGTTAAAAATGCAGTGAAATGTGGCTTTATTATCATATTTAAAATAAGTCCAAAAAATAAAAAAGAAATTTTAAAAAAGAAAAGAAAAAACAAACACCACCAACTGCCTCCGCAGTCACCATTTTCCCAGAAAGGCCTGATTTCATGGTAACTTTGTCTTTTTAAAAAAATATTTATTTATTTATTTGGCTGGCCAAGTCTTACTTGTCACGTATGGGACCTACTTTCCTGACCAGAGATCAAACCCAGGGCCCTTGCACGGGAAGCATGGCACCTTCACCACCGGACCACCAGGAAAGTTGCATAACTTTGTTTTATTATTTGATGGTGTCACTTCAACTAGTGAGCAACAGCCACTCCTTTGTCACAAATTCAATGTATTAAATCACGTGCGGTTCCAGGACCTGCAGCTGGGGCAGAATCTGATGGCCTGCAATCCCCAATCATGAGGGTTATGGACTCAATAGATAATTCTCTCGGAAAGCAGAGCTTGGTCAACAGTGGGGGTTCAAATATGACATTTTTCCTCCCCAGGTCTAAGTCTCCCTGCCCCCACCGCCATGCCCCCAGTTATTATCGAAAGGACAGGTAAGAGGGGAGGCTCTGGGTTCAAATCCCAACTCGGTCCCTTACTGGCTGTGTAACCTCAGACAGGTGACTTAACCTCTCTGGGCTTCCACATCCTCATCTGTAACAGGGGTAAGAGCACTAACACCTGATTGGGTGTTTGGAGGGTTCCACGTGTTAATAATAGTAAAAGGGCTCAGCACATAGTATAGGCTCGATTAATGCCAGCTGATAGAGGGATGGCTAAAAAATTTGTTTGGATTTTTGTACACTATTACAAAAAACCCTGAATGAACTTAATACCATCATAATTGTTTGTATGTTTACATGCGGGTTAGTTCAAAGAAGGCCTTGTGCTGCTATGAAGAATCTGGAAACTGCTGAGGGAGCCGACAAGAGGGGGAAAAAGAAGAGGGGGAGATCTCTGGATGGAAAGGAAAGGGGATAGACATTCAAAACAGGTTCCCGGTCCGAAGGGCCCACCCTCCTCGTCCAGGAAATCTCACCCGTTGACGCACAGCAACACCCACCCCCTGATGGAGAAATGGCAGAGCCTTGCCTCCCTGAAGATCCTGGGGGCGACGGTGGGAAGGAGCCAAGGAAAGAGAACTGCTGCAAGCCCCCGTGTTCTGGGGGGTGAGGACAGATCGGGGAGAGGCAGGGAGATGGGGTGGGAGGTGCGAAGGGGAGCAGCATGAGAGGACAGAGAAGGTGGCAGGAAGGAAAAAGAAGAGAGGGTTATTAGTCAACAGCACACAGCAAAGCAGGAGGGGAAACCTGACTTTGGCCATTAACTGTTTTTTTCCTTTTGGCCACACTGTGCAGCATATGGGATCTTAGTTCTCCGACCAGGAATTGAACCTGAGCCCCTGCATTGGAAGGGCAGAGTCTTAACCACTGGACCATGAACTTTTAAGCCAGGGAGACTGTCCTGTTCACATTTATGTTGACTAGTGAGGGCACCAATGTTGGTTGAAAGGATAAATGTCCTCTGAGAATTTAATGCCCAGAGTTGAGGGGGGAAGAAAAACTCTCTCCCTAGAAGTTGGGTCTGTATCTGTTTTTATTAGGTATCCCCTTTTTGCCCTGGCTGCCAGGAAGCTCAGGACTAAGCCAAGGTTCCCACCTAGCTTGTTGCGTTTGCCTCTCTGAAGAGAGCGTGTCTCATTGGTCTCTTCCCCTGAGCTGCCGAGGATGCTGGGTACCCAATGCTGGGCTGTCAGGATGCCAGAAAGCAAAGCCGACTCTGGACTCAGGGCAGCTGTAGTAAAGACTGATACAGAAGTGGCCCCAATTCCCCATCGCACTCTGGGACTGCCACCTCCTTGAATCTGGGCTGGTCTTATGACATGCTTTGTTTGGGAGAACTGTGGAGGAGACAGTACTGTGCTGGGTTTCAGACTAGGACACTCAAGAGGCTTTCCCACTTCTACTTTCTCTCTTGGAGTCTTTGAGAGCCAAGCATATGTGGGGTAGAGCATGTGAGGGGTTAGGGGGAACATCATGTGGCCATGAATAGGGCATGAATTTTAAGGAAGTTGAGAGGGGAGATTTTCAGTCTGAAGGAGATGTTTCTCGGCAGAACCCGCTTCTGTTGCATGTGTGTGCATGCTAAGTCTCTCAGTTGTGTCTGACTTTTTGCAACCCCATGGACTTTAGCCCACCAGGCTCCTCTGTCCATGGGATTCTCCAGGCAAGAATACTGGAGTGGGTTGCCATGTCCTCCTCCACGTGATCTTCCTGACCCAGGTATCAAACCTGTGTCTTTTATGTCTCCTGCATTGGCAGGTGGGTTCTTTACCACTAGCGCCACCTGCAAAGTCCTTCTGGTTCTGTTACTGAAACTCAAATACTGCTTTTCAAATCTAGGGTCGGACATATGACATCTACAATTAACTTCATAGCTTCCTTTTGACTATTCACATGCTCATTTATTTTGCTGGTCTGATTGCATAAACTACTATCACCAAAACAGTATTTCACAGCAGTGTTGTCAGGGAGCATCCTTGTCTCATTTCTGATTAAGCTGGGTGTTTTATCGGTGAGTGCGAAGCTGGTTTGAAATATCGATCCCTCAGTCACTAACTGGAAACACTATTGTGAGGCTGTCGGTCCTGGTACCAGTTCTGTATCTGAGCAGACAACTCAGGTTCAGGACTCAGCCTGTGAAACAAAACTGAAGGGGTGCACAGAGCTCCAGGGACAGGCGGGGGGAAGCGGGTCCTCACCGTCTTTCCAGATCTCCGCCGTCAGCCGGTCTGTGCTCTGGTGGAGCAGGGCTGCGACGCTGTCATTCAGGGGGTCCATGTTTTTCATCAGCCACTCGTTGGCCTTGTAGTCGACCTGAATGAGATCAGGCAGAGGAGGGTCCCAAGGAGCCTCCCAGAAGCTCTGAAAACCCCCCGATTGGGGGTGGGAGGGGGTGCGGGGGCCGCGCTCACCGCTCACGAGCGCGCTGGCGCCACCTTGTGTCTCTCTCCCGAACTTCACCCACCCGCCGCCTGGCTCCCCTCCCTTTCTGCCTTTCCCTTGAGACAACCCTGCCCGCGCCTCCATAACCTCATCCACTATCATCACTTCTTATTTTCTCAGCCACACTCCTCAAACGTGCAAGATCCTTTCCACCTCAGGATTTTGACGCCTGCAGTTCCCGCCTCCTGTGACTCGCCCCCCCGCCCCGTGGATTTTCACAGGGCCGACTCCTTCCCCGGGAGACTCACAATCTTGGACCACCAGGGGCCCTGCTATGCCCTCCTTCCCCCGCCCTCCGGGGTGGCTCCCAGAGGCCAGGGTCTGAGTCTGAGTGAGTCCAGCACAGCCCTGGGCCTGCGGGAAATCTTAGAAAATGTGTGGGAAACAACAGTTCTAGGACAGGACACACGGGTCTCCTCCCGGCCAGCCCTGGGGTATGTGGTTTCCGCCCCCCTCCACTCAACCTTACTCATCATTTAGACCAGGGGTTGCCAGATAGCCCCGGTCCACAGGCCAAATTCAGCCTGCCACCTCCTTTTGTAAATAAAGTTTTATTGGAATACAGCCTTCATTTGTGTGTGAACTTGTGGCTGCTTTTGTGCTATGATGGCAGAACTGAGTAGTTGTGCTGGAGACTGTCTCCTCCACAAAGCTGAAACGAGTGATAGAAAATGTTTGCTGGCCCGTTCGTTATTTATTCGGCTGCACCGGGTCTTAGCTGTGGCATGTGGGATCTAGTTCCCCGACCAGGGAACAAACCCCGGCCCCCTGAATTGCCACTGGACCACTGGGGAAGTCCCTGACCTTTGATTTAGAGCTCGATCAAGCATCACTCTCCTCTGTGAGACCTTCCTTGGCTTTCCTCCTCTGGACTTTGATACTCTCTGTAGCTGCCTCGGTTAAGGCACTCATCAGCCTTTTATCCCAATGGTCTTTATTAGTCTTCCTCCCAGATAAGGAACTTTGTGAGGACAGAATCGTGTCTGACATGGGTCCCCAACTTTGCTCAGCACAGGGCTGCGCACACAAAAGGCATACGCTGGCCAAATGAGTGAATAAAATACACCTAACTCTCTACCTGGTGAACTCCTATTCATCCCTCAAAACCTACTGCAAATATCCCCACCTTGAGGAAGGCTTTGCTGACTTCATCAGATAGAGTCCTCACTCCTGGCCCCTGGCCTGACTGGGACTTTTCCGTTGGACACCAGGTGGCCCCTGCCTTCCCCTTGCATCCTCCCTCCATCCTCACTCCCACCCGCATGCCTCAAGGCTGCCCCACCACTCCCTGTTCCCTACCTTGCCTGCATAATGCAGGACACTGAAGTCGGCCTGATCCCGCAGGTGCCTTGGCCTCTGGAACTTGGGGTGGCCGCCCTGCTCCTGGGCCACCTTCTCCACAAAGGACTTGTCCGTGGCCTTTGGGAACCAGCACTCCTCATCCAGCAGAGCCAGGAGTCCGGGGGGGTTGGCCTGACCGTTGGCAGAGCAGGGAGAAGCGTTAAGTCAGATCCCCCAAAACTGGACACTTAGGTTGCTGCTAATTTTTAGCTCTTGTGCCACTTGGGACCTACTAGCAAACAGGAGAACAACCATCACAGTTCTAGCTGTCAATCAGCCCTCGATTCCAGCCGGGCCGGTGGTAGGAACGCTCTGGGTTCCAATCATCTAGCAGTCACACAGATCTAGGCCGTTTTCCCCATTTAACTGATGGAGAAGCCCAGGGCTGGGAGAGAGGGAGGGGCTGGACCAAAGTGACACAGAAGGCAGAGGAGATGCGGGTGAACAGCCGGGTGACGGCGGGGTGTGGCGGGAGGAGCCGTGCGCTCACCGGCCGCTCGATGAGGTCGATGCAGGGCTGCAGGTCGAGGCCGAAGTCGAGGAAGGTCCAGGGGATGCCCTCGCGCTGGTACTCCTCTTGCTCCAACACGAACATCGTGTGGTTGAATAGCTGCTGCAGCTTCTCATTGGTGTAATTGATACAGAGCTGCTCGAAGGAGTTCAGCTGCAGGGGGCGGGGATGCATGAGAGAGAGGGGCGGGACCCAGAGGAGGGGACAGAGACCCAGGAAGAGGGGGACAGGGACCCAGAGAAGGGGAGCCAGGCCAGCGTGGGAGCCCTCCCGGCCTCCCGCCAGACACGTAGAGCAGACCTGGAAGATCTCAAAGCCCGCGATGTCCAGGATGCCCAGGAAGGAGGCGCCTTGCCGGGGGCTGCGGTCCAGGGCTCGGTTGAGACGCAGCACTAGCCAGCGGAAGAGACGCTCGTAGGTGGCCTTGGCCAGCGCCTCCAGCGCAAAGTCAGCCTGCGGGGCGGGGCGCACAGTGAGGACCCGCCTGCCCGTCAGCGCCCCGGTCCGTCCCCCCGGGGCTGGCGAGGAGACCCTGGTTGCAGAAGCCGCCCCCTTGTGGTTCATCAAGAGTGATGACATTAACACTGGCAGACAGTCACTGAAGGCCGACTGTGTGCCAGACCCTGTATGAGGTGCTCGGGGGCTCGTTAGTTCATGAATCCTCCACCCAATGCTTGAACCAATTTCTACTGTAGAACAGGCAAGAGAGTGGGATCTGGGGCCTGACACCAAGGTTGGAATCCCAGCTCTGCCATTTAGAGGCTGTGTGACCTGAGGCCTGTGAATAAAGCTCTCTCTGCCTCAACTTCTCCAACCACTTTTCCACTGAGCATGGAACCTGGGTCAGTGTGACACTCAGTCTCTTATCCCTCACTGCGCCTAGGACCTCGAGTGCCCAGCACTCGTATTTGAGGGTCAGGCAGAGGCCTCTACCCCAGAATTGGATTCTGAAAATAGCTGGTCCATGTTCACTTCTCCCCACCCCCACTGCATCACCTGTGTATGTTCTGCTATCATCACTTGCCTAGACTATGACAGTGGCCTCTTCCTGTCTCTCTGCTTCCACCAGTGCCCCCTAGAGCCAATTCTCCACATAATAGACAAGGGAACGTTTACAAAAGACAAACTGAATCAAGTTGGTCCCCAGCTAACATCCTCACTAGCCTCCTAAAGCACTTTGAATAAAACTCACCTCCTTACTGTAGCCCTTAAGACCTTGGATAATCTGTCCCCTTCCAACCTCTCTGGCTGCAGCTTCTATCACCCTCTCCCCAGCTCTCTAGCCTCACTGATCTCCTTAATGTTCCCAACTCACCAAGCTTGTTCCACCTTCAGGGCCTTTACACATGCTATTCCCTTTATCTCAAACCATCCAAGCCTCAATTCAAATGTCACCTCCTCCGAGAAGGCTTTCTTGACCACCCCAACCCCCTCCTGCATAGAAAGCATCCCCGTTTCTTCTATTATCTGATTCCTTACTACCCTGAGCTCCCTGAAGGCATGGCCCTTGTTTCCATGACTGCCTTTATGCTAGCACCTAGACCAGAGTCGGTAACTGAACAGATATTCAGCCAAAGTTTGCTGAGTGAGTGAGAAAGAACAGGCATAGGCTGCTTAAAAATCCAGGACCCTCCCTGCACCCGCTGCCCCCAGCCTTGCCCACCTGTTCCTTGGTCTGTGCTTTCTGCACGTAGTCCCGGCCAACTTTGATGCGGGGGGTGAGCAGGGCGCGGGAGAAATCCGTCACCCCCAGGCCCAGGAGGCGGCAGAGCTTCTGCGCAGCTGAGGGCAAGAGGCACAGATGGGGTCAGCACTGGGAGGTGGGGACAGCGAGGAGGGGGGCAGAGGGTGCCACCCCCCAGCTGTTGGTGGGACCCCAGCCTTTCCCGCTAGAGGCATGAGGGGTCCTAAAAGTATGTGTTCTCTGGCCTAACAATTCTCCTCCTGGGACCCCAAGTTGGCAAAAATAAACCCAGAGGTGAGTAAAGGCTGGACTAAGAGGATGCTCATCACGGTGTTGTTTATGATCGAGAAAACCAGGAAACAACCTGCATACCCAACGTTGGGGATTGGTTAGAGTCAGGGTCCACCCATTTGAACTGAGTGTTCTGCAGTCACTAAATATTATTATTATACATAATTATTTAATAAATAAGTAAATGATAATTATAAATTATTACGTGGTACACTTAAGCCATGTACATTTCATGATGTGTATGTTTCACTTCAAGTTCAAGGAAGAATTGTAAACAAATGTTGGACGCCAGTAAGTGGTACCCATGCTGAAGGGTCTTTATCAGTATCTGCACCTTTGAAATGTGCCAGGAAAAAAAGACAAGTGAGCAGAGGATGGAAAGATAGTCAATGTGGTAAAATGTCAATGGTAGAATCTCGGTGGTGGATCTGAATACTTGGTATAAAATTCTTTGAACTTTTCTGTACGTTGGAAGGTGTCTTAATAAAATGTTGGGGGGACAGCTCTTGGCATAACAATTCATTGAGGTGGCTAAACCCAAAAGAAATCTTTAAAAATTCATTGATCTTCCTTATTTGTGTAGGAAAAAATAATTGCCAAAATGTTAATGGCTCTTTTGGCAGAAGATGGAGACAGGACTGTGCAGGCAGGTGTATTTCTTCTTTCGCCTCTGAATTAAACTGATCGTTAAGAAGTGTTTCGAAGCTTCTATCACTTGCATCATGGGAAGTTAGCTACTACAAATACTCAGCACCAGCAAAAAGGAAAAACACCTAGGAGTTTTTCAACAGTGGTTATTTCTGAGAGGTGATGAAGATTTAAATCCGTCTCTCTCTGAAACTGCAATTTCTAATTCATCTGCAGTGATTTTGCCTTATACAAGAATATTTTAAAATGAAAAAAAAAAAAAAACCCACCAAACCCAGCACAGAGTGCTACGCTGCCAATAACATGATAGCCTAACAGGGTTCTAAGCCCTCCGTGTGTACTTTCTAAAAGATTTTTTAAAATGTGGACCATTTTAAAAGTCTTTGTTGACCCCAATTTGTAAACCAAATGAATGAATGAGTTCATACTGCACACGTGCTGGGTGTCTGAAGCCACCAGATGTCACAGAAATAGCTCAGATCAATGACACGGTCAGAGATGATCCTTCTGGACTTCCCTAGTGGTCCAGTGGTTAGGACTCTGAGCTTCCACTGCAAGGGGTGCAGGTTTGATTCTTGGTTCAGAATGAAGATCCTGAATATTGCATGGCTCCGTATTGATAATGATATAGATCCCCCGACCACCAAAAAAAAAAAAAAAGAGAGAGAGAGGGATGCCCATTTCTTCATACGCCCTGTGTCATACGGCTTTTGAAAATGAGCCCATAGGGTTTCATGATCAGGACAGTAAGCTCTTCCCATCCTGAGGGGAAGGTGTCAAGCACGATTCCATTTCTGTGATAATTATCTCCTCATTGATACAGACATAGAGCAAACCCCAGAGAGAGCTGCCCCAAAATGTGAGCAGTAATTATGGGTAATTTCCCTGCCTTTATCCTTCGCTGTCTTGCCAGAGTTTCTTCCCCATCCAGACTGTATTATTTTATCATAATAAAGAAGCAGAGCTATTTTCATTTGGATAAAAAGAAAAAGGAACATCAACTATACTTCTGCTTTTGAAAGGCAAAAAAAAAAAAAAAAAGCAAAGCACAGAGGCGAGGAGGAGGCACACCCAGGGCTCACTGGGCCCACCCTGGGAGGGGCTGAGATGATGGGGGACCCTGCCCACCCCCTCTCTGGCATACTGGTGTTGTTCACATTCTCCGCAGAGCTCACACTCTGTATAATCAAGGAAAGAGTGGAAAGTGTTTTCTCAGTAAAGATTCAGCCAAGGGCAGGAAATCAGGGCGGGCCTGGGGGAGGCAGGTCTGTATGATGGTGGGCAGCAGGCCAGGGGGCGGTACCTGTGTTGTCCGGCATGGAGGCTTGGTCGGTGTTCCGTTCTCTCTTCAGGACGATGTTGCCAAACTGGAGAACGGCTGAGACCATCCGCAGCATGGCTAAGGGGCAGCAGAGACCGAGGTCACGACACGTGGCACAGGGTGTGAACTAGCCCCTTAGAAGCCTCGCTGAGACAACCAGGACCTATTCCATAGCCCAGGGAACTAGACTCAGTCTCCTGTAATAACCTATCATGGAAAAGAATCTGAAAGAGGATATATATACGTATAACTGAATCACTTTGCTGTACATCTGAAACTAACACATAATACATCAGCTATACTTCAACACCTCAGTTACNATAGCCCAGGGAACTAGACTCAGTCTCCTGTAATAACCTATCATGGAAAAGAATCTGAAAGAGGATATATATACGTATAACTGAATCACTTTGCTGTACATCTGAAACTAACACATAATACATCAGCTATACTTCAACACCTCAGTTACAAAAATAAAATTTTAAAAAGAAATCTAGCTTAAAACCCTATGTCAAATTACACCACCACTTGACTCCAGGCACGTCTTAAAATACCTGAATGGATAAATGAATTCTGTATTTTACAGACGTGCGCCCATGCTAAGTCACTTCAGTCATGTCCCAGTCTTTGCGACCCTATGGACCTTCTGTCCATGGGATTCTCCAGGCAAGAATGCTGGAGTAGGTTGCCATTCCCTTCTCCAGGAGATTTTATATACGAGGTTTGCTTAATTGCCGTTTGGTGTCTGCTCATATCTGTTTTGGGCTTCCCCAGTGGCCCAGTGGTAAAGAATCCACCTATAACACAGGAACCACAGGAGACACAGGTTTGATCCCTAGGTCAGGAAGATCCTCTGGAGGAGGGCATGGCAACCCACTCCAGTGTTTTTGCCTGGAGAACCCCATGGACAGAGGAGCCTGGAGGGCTAAGGACACATGTCCATTTTATAAAGTGATATGTATAAGATTGAAATATAAAAAATATATATATATATATATACATATATGCCACTCTGGTATACAGCAGAAATTAACACAACACTGTGAATCAACTATATTTCAATAAAAATTTTTAAAAGGACACCTTATCTGATATATAGCATTGATTCACATTGAACTCACAACCAACATTCACGATAACTGGAACCTGAAGGGAGCTTTTCTTACACACCTATTTTCTTTGTACCCAGCATCACAGTCTTCTTGCTCCTAGGGACACCAGATGGCATTAAGCACTATGCTTGGAGGAGCATTTCAAACAGTGAAATTGCCAAACAAAAAGCATCCCCAAAGTGAAAAACGTGGCACCCAGTAGGTTGCAGAAAGGATACTGGTTTGCAGTGTGAGCTAGAACAAGAAAGCGGAATGCAGCCCCTGGAACCTCCATTGGGGGCACCCGGGGCAGCTCAAAACTTTCACTCCTCTATGAATGACGCCAAGGACCACACAAACACCAGGACTGTTGGCTTGGGGGTTACAAATAACTGTCATGTGTAGCTAATTTCTCCAACTCGGACACTGTAAAAGATGGACTGTATTTGCACGTCTGTGCAGAGGAGCCTGGCCGGCTTCGGTCCATGGGGTCACCCAAGAGTTGGACACGACTGAAGCGACTTAGCACGCAGGCACCAAAGGGGCTCGACATCTCGCCATAAGTGGGCAATGCTGCCCCCTAGGGGACATCCTGGGAACGTGCAGGGGTTGGTTGGCACAGGGATAGGCACCACCCCAGCAACATATTGGGGTGTTTCTGGACATCACAGAGACTGCGTGGGTGGGCACCAGACGTAGCCCATCTGTATCACAAAGAGATGTCCACGTCCCGAGTGATTCTGAAACATCCCAGTGGACATTCGTGTCTATGAATAGTGGTTTCCAATGCTCTGAGACTAATCCCGAGCTGTTTTACATACACACGAAAATGGTGTTTAGTTTTAACAGAGGGTAGTTACTGTGGAATCCAAAGGAACGTGGGCCTTGATTTTGTTCAGAACTTGATCTAGATTTGGTCAGGACTTCCCTAGTGGTCCAGTGGTTAAGACTCCTGCTTTCAATGCAAGGGGTCTGGGTTCAATCCCTGGTTGGGGAACTACGGTCCCACATGCTGCCGAGCAACTGTGCTCTTGCACCACAACTAGAGGGTCCGGCGGCACAATGAAGGGTCCACATGACTCAAAGATCCCAAGTGCTTCAACTGAGACCTAATGAACTTCAACTGAGACCTAAAAAAATAAATAATTTTTTTTAAAAGAAAAAGAAAGTGCACAGACTGTCTGTTTGTTCCAAATTCAAGAGCAGGCAGAATAATCTGTTCCAAATTCAAGAGGGCAAGAGGAGAAGGGGGCAACAGAGGATGAGATGATTGGATGGCATCTCTGACTCAATGCACATGAGTCTGAGCAAACTCAGGGAGATGGTGAAGGACAGGGAAGCCTGATGTGCTGCAGTCCATGGGGTCGCAAAGAGTCGGACATGGCTGAGCAACTGAACAACGACAACAAAATGACTCTATGCTGTTAGACACCAGGTTAGGGGGTTTCTGGCGACCAGAAGGAGCTTGCGGGGACTTCGAGGTGCTGGTCATACGGGGTGTCACTTGCAGAAATTTTCCCAAGTTGGGTGCTTCAAGCTCACTTTTTGGTGTCTGTGCTACATAAGCTTCTGCACAAAGTTTACTCAGGAAAAGGGCGTGGTGGGAGGTGGAGAGGGCGGGGAACTCTTCTGGGAGACCTGTGCCAAAAACACGTAACTTGGATCTAATCAAGAGAAAGTGCACCCACACTGAGAAAACAACCAGCCTGTAATCTCCCAAAGTGTCAAGGTCACAAAAGATAGAGAAAAATTCAGGACCCATTCCAGATGGATAAAGAGTAAAGTGTGACGGCTAGATGCAACACGTGTGATCCTGGACTGGGGAAGTGTGTGTGTAACAAAAACTTTTTTTTTTTTTTTGCTATAAAAGACATTCCTGGGGAAATTGGCATAAGGTCTGTGAAAAAAAATTTTTTTTGCCATAAAAGACATTACTGGGACAGTTGGCATAAGGTCTGTGGATTAGATAAATAGTACCCATACTGCCAATGTTCACTTCCTAACGATGACACTGTACTGCGTCTGTGTCAGAGTATGCACTGACAGATTCAGGGGGTGGTGAGATGAATAATGCCCCCTCCCAACGTCCACAGCCTGAATCCTACGAATGTTACCTCGAAGGGAGAAACAGACTTAACTGATGTGATGAAATTGAGGATCTCAAGACAGGAGATGAATCTGGCATTATCCAGGTGGGCCCTAAATGTGATCGGAAGGGTTCTTATAAGAGGGAGGCCGATGGGGCAGGCCACATGAGCAGCGGTTAGAGTGATATACTTTGTTTCTGTTTTCTATTTTTGGGCCTGGCCAGACAGTTTGAGATATCTAAGTTCCTGGACCAGGGATGGAGCCTGGGCCCCCGAAGTGAAAGCACTAAGTCCTAACCACTAGACTGCCAGGGAATTCCCGAGAGCACTGCGTTTTGAAGATGGAAGAAGGGGCCACGAGCTAAGACATGTGGGTGGCCTCTGGAAGCTGAGAAAGACAAGAAAACAAATCTCCCCGGAGCCTCCAGAAGGGACCAACTCTGCTGACACCTTGATTTTAACCAGTCAGATTGATTTTCGACTTCTGACCAGGGGAGGGAAGTACTTCTGGTCAGGGAGTAAACGTGTTATTATAAGCCACGACATTTGTGATCATTTGTGTCAGCGACCATCAGAAACTAACACGAAAGGTGAAGGGGTACCTGGGCAACATCCCTACTCTCGAATGACTCAGAACAAGTAATTAGAAAGACAGATGAGCATAAAGTAGATGTAGCAAGTGGTGATGCTTGAAAAGTCTGGGAGAAGGCATGCAACGATTTTGTGGACTCTCTACTACTCTTCTGTATACCTGAAATTATTCAGCCAAGCGCCGCCCCCTCCAGCGGCTGCCCCGCCCCTCCCGAGACACCACGCCCCTGCCTCTCCAGCCCCCTGGCCGTCACAGTCACCGCACCATGCACCTTCCAGGGGTCGCTCTTCCACTGGATCGACTTTAATCTATTTGTGTCATTTGATGCTCCCTGGGGGGGGGTGTCTCAGCGCTCCAGGGGGCAGGGGCTTGTTCTGTTTTGGCCACGGTTCCTTTCCCCCAGTGCCTGCAGAGATCCGGCCCACAGACTCCATCAGGCGTCGAATGAGTAAAGAATGAATGAATACACGGCAAAAGGGCTGTCTTGCTGTGTGACCTTGGGCAAGCCGGATGGCCTTCTGGACCTCGGGTTCCATCCCCTCCCCCTGCAGCACAGTGGGCGGGGCGGGGCTGGGGTCAGGGGGCTGGCTAGACGGGGACAGCCAAGAACCCCGGAAACACTGGGAGGTTTTTTGGGGGGGGGGAAGCAGAGAGACACCTCCCAAAAGATAAATAGATGAGGACATCTCCTGATAGACAGATAAGGCCACCATCAACTGAATAATCATTCACCCTTAACGTCAGCTCAGGCCCGACTCAGACTCGCGTTCCCCCGGTGGCCTTTAAATGGCCTTTCACGGTTGGCTTAGCAACCTGCGTGGGTGCGGAGCACCTGGTGAACCTGATGCCTGAGGGGCTGGCAGTCAGCGCTAGCTGGTGACTTCAGCCCAGCCGACCGCAAGCAAGCCCCGGCCTGCGAGGGTGGGGGCGTGGGGCTGGCGATGCTCTGACGGCCTCACGTGAGCGCGAGGCCGCCTCTCTGTGTGCCAGGCTCCCTGCGCAACCTCACCGGTGGCATTGACGGTGCCAGTGTGGACGGGAAGTGAGGAGGGGATGGAGGGCCTCCCTCCATCGGCCTCCAGTGCTCTCTGTCCTGGACCTCCCGAGGGTAACCCAGAGGCACCCACCTGCCTCTCTGGGAACGGATCACGGGCTGGCTTTGGAGTCAAACTGGGTTCTACCACTTCCTGGTCAACTGCAGTGACTAGGGCGGACACCCCACCTCCCTGGACCTCTGTCTCCTTTTTCATTTTTGTCTTTGGGCCGAATTGTGAGGCTCGTGGGACCTTAGTTGCCAGATCAGAGATCGAACCCAGGGCCATCCCAAACCTACGAATCCCAACCACTGGACTGCAAGGGTTAGGTATGTCTGTCTCTTTTGTCCAAAGAGTCTAGAGAAAAAAGGAAATAAATAAAACCGTCTGACCCTACTCCTTGGAGGGGAGATACAAAAGCACACTGTTATGAGACCCCATCCACCTGCCACACCAGCAGAAGCAAAAGAGGGGATAACACTGGCTGCCAGCATCCACGTCCGGGAACAGGTGCGGCAGAGGCAGGGTTTGGAAACGAGCGCCCCCTTATGGACGGTGGCGAGGTCGAATCAGCACGATTCTAAAAACAGCGGGTATTTCCCTGGGGGGAAGGAAAACGGCGGTGACGGGATGGAGATTAGAGCTGAAGACCAANACAGGTGCGGCAGAGGCAGGGTTTGGAAACGAGCGCCCCCTTATGGACGGTGGCGAGGTCGAATCAGCACGATTCTAAAAACAGCGGGTATTTCCCTAGGGGGGAAGGAAAACGGCGGTGACGGGATGGAGATTAGAGCTGAAGACCAAGAAGCCATGAGCAGGTAATTGTTGGTGTCTGGGGATTCATGATCTTCAGGGGCTAGTGGCAGAAACGGGCAGGGGACCGCAAAGGGGCCCAGGTGTTCTTCTTGGGTCACTGAAAATGTTCTAAATTGATTTTGGTGATGGCTGCACAACTCTGTGAAGCTAAAAGCCACTGACTCATACACTTTAAATAGGTGAATGGTTTGGTATATGAATGATATCTCAAACAGCCGTTAAATGTCCGTCAAAGCTGGATACAATTTAAAAATGGCACTTCTCCTTGGACTCAGAATTTCGTTGCTAAGAACTGATGCTGCAGTTCACCTGTGAGCACAAAGACCTACTTCTAAGGATGTTCTTGGGACTTCCCTGGTGGTCCAGTGGTTTAAGAATCCACCTGTCAATGCAGGGGACATGGGTTTGATCCCAGGTCCCGGAAGATACCCACATACCACGGGTCAACTAAGTCTGGGTGGCACAACTACTGAGCCTGAACCCTAGAGCCCCTGCTCTGCATCAAGAGAGGCCACTGCAGCGAGAAACCCATGCGCTGTAACTAGAGTAGCCGCCCCCAACCTCGCCGCAACTGGACTCACTAGACCCAAGTAGCAGTGACGACCCAGCACAGCCAAAAATAAAAATTTTAAATTGTAACAAGAATATTTTGGGCCCCTTTTGGGGAGTAGGTGTCACCCCAACAGCAATGGGATGCAGTCACCTTAACAGTGTGTCTGCAAGGAGCAGACACGTTCCAAGAGTCACAGTTCATCAATACAGTGAAAGAGTACTGCAGGAGACGTGGGTTCGACCCCTGAGTCAGGATGATCCCCTGGAGGAGGAAATGGCTACCCACTCCAGTATTCTTGCCTGGGGAACCCCACAGACAGAGGAGCCTGGCACGTTACAGTCCACAGGGTCGAAAAGAGTCGGACACGACTGAGCACACACACATGCCTGAACCTCAGTCCTGGAACTGGGGAATAATGTGTGTCTTTTCTTTTGTGCCTAAGATATTTCTGGCAGGAGATGCAGGAAGCTTAACAGCAGGAAAACTAGGGCTCAGGGGGGCTGGGGGAGACTCGGTTTTCACACGATGACCTTTGATCATATTCAGATTATGTCATTATACGCAGTCGGCGCTGCAAAATTTTTGTCTCGGGTTTGCAAAAATTGGGGCTGCTGGCCGTGCTCAACCACACCACAGGAGGGTTACTTGAGGTGACCTGTGTCCAGAGGCCAGGAGGGACCTGAGGGGCCCAGGCCCCCACCATTACTTCCCTCCAGAAATTTGTCAGCTGCTCAGGAAGGAGAGCGGAGACACACAGGCGGGGCAGTTACGCAACCTGCGGTTGGGAAATCGAGCGAGGAGGCCTGGGACCCTGTGTCAATATGCCCGAGGAAGCCCGGCCTGTTTGCAGCCTGGGTGGACAGCCAAGCTGGCACTGGGTCTCCAGCCCTCCCCACTGGCCCCGGAGCCAACAATAGCTCCCAGGGCCTCCTGCAGCGCCGGAGACCAGAGGAGAAAGAGACCCAGTCCAGCTCCCGCTCAGTCCTGGAAATCAGGGTCCTTCTCTACGGGACTGGTGAAAGGAATCACAGTTCATCCAAACAATGAAATGCCAGGCAGCCACAAAAAAGACTGAGATTTGCCCTCTACGTACATGTCACGGGTTGAACCCTGTCCCTCTGCTCCCTCCCAAAATATAATAAAGTCCTAACGCCTGGGACCTCACAGAACGTGACCTGATTTGGGTATTGAGTCATTGCAGCTGCAATTATTTAAGTGAAGACGGGATTACAAGGGAGTGCGGTGACCCCTGATCCAAAATGACGGGCGTCCTATAAAAAGGGGAGATTGCAGACAGACGCGCAGGCAGGGAGGCGCGCCCCATGAAGCTGAAGGCAGAGATCAGGTGATGCTTCTACCAGCCAGGGGATGCCAAGATTGCCAGGAAACCACCAGAAGCCAGGAGAGGAAGAGAGCAGAATCTTCCAGGGCCAACCAACCCTGCCGACACTCTGATCTCAGACTTCCCGCCTCCAGAACTGGGAGATGACTGATTTCACGTGTTCAAGGCACTCATTTGGGCTTCCCAGACAGTGCTAGTGGCAAAGAACCCGCCTGCCAATGCAGGAGATGTAAGAGACCCAGGTTAGATCCCTGAGTCAGGAAGATCCCCTGGAGGAGGGCATAGCAATCTACTCCAGTATTCTTTCCTGGAGAATCCCATGGACAGAGAAGTCTGGAGGGCTACAGTCCATGGGGTCTCAAAGAGTGGGACACGACTGAGCGACTTAGCACATACGCAAGGCACTTGTTTATAGTACTCTGTGATGGCAGCCCTGGCACAGTACTGCAAATGAACTACTGTCAGAACATACTGTTTGGTGAAGAAGGTGGGGCAAAGCAGCAGAACATGGGCTGATGAGCTGAGTAATTCACCCCAGTGCTCCAGGGCAGACTCAGGGCCAGTCAGGGTCTTTCCTGTACCCTCATTTCAGCCTCCTCTGGCCTCCAGTCCATCCTCCACACAACCCAGAGCTGCTTCTCCTCCCACGGCTCCCTGGTGCCCTCAGAACAGAGTCCCCCGCCCCAACTGCCTCTGTGGCTTCATCTCCCCACCCACCTGGGTCACTGACTAATTGAGGCCATTAGAGAATTAGACAAGGATCTCTCTTTTTTTTCAGCCATACCGAGCAGCATGCAGGATCTTCATTCCCTGACCACGGCTCGAACCTGTGCCCCTGTGGTGGAAGCCTGGAGTCTTAACCACTGGACCACCAGGGAAGTCCCTCGAGAAGTTTCAATGCATCAAACACACCATGCCTTTCCTGCCTCAAGGCCTTTGCACATACTGCCCCCCCCAACCTAGTACATTCTTTACTGATAGCACCAACATACACATCTGAGCTCTCCAGACCTTCGTGCAAACATCACCATCTCACCATGTCCTTCCTGATCCCCTATTTAAAGCTCCCTCCCTCCTCTGTTCCCTGTTTCAGTTTTCAAACCGAGCCATGAACGGCCAGGTGCCCCTCTTGCCCGTGCAGTCCACCCCCACCCTTTACCAGGCAGGGTCTGCGCTCACTCACAGGTGATCTCCTCATGGGTGAATCCCAGGACCCGCAAGGACTCCAGCGTCTCCTGGAAGAGCTCGCGCTCCTGGCCCGGTGAGGACGACGGCCCGTTGGTCAGGAAGCGGTAGTGGGAGAAGGGCTCCAGGAGCAGGTCAGCTGTAGGGGTAACGGCAGGGGCCAAGGTCAAGTATGAGCCGCAGCGTCAGACTCATGTCCTGGCTTCCTAAATGGCCACCCGAGGACGAGCATCACCGCCCCACTAGGAACCTCAGTCTCTTCCTGTCAAACGAGTCGGGATCCTTTCTTCACGGGTATGGTGGGAAGGGCCGGCCATGAGGTGGGTACTTAGCACATCTCAGACCTTTCCTCTTCCCTCCTTTCTTAGTGATTCTCAAGACGCAGAACTGCCCAGAGCAGGTGAGAGGCGCCCACCGGCGGAAGCAACAGGGCTGCGGATGCCCAAGTTAGCAGAAGCCACGGGACAGCAGGGCTCGGACGGCAGAGCGTTTGTGGGTTCGGAAGCCACCGGGAGCGGAAGGCTGGGTGCGGAGGGATCAGGAGGCGGCCCAAGCTACAAGGTGGAAGGAGCCAGAACGCGAGGGAGCCGCAGGGCAGTGGGGCCGCCATAGAAGAGAGAGCCTCGGGGCGGGGGGGGTGCATTTCCCCAGTCAGAGGGCTGGAGGGGCGCAGAGCAGGAGGCAGAAGGGGTCTCAGGCAGGAGCCAGGAGGCAGGAGCTCAAACGCCACGCAAACCACGATCATCATCGGGAACCACGCGGCGGCAAAGCTGGATTCGTCACAGCACGCAGCTGGAGGAAGCGGAGCCCCGTGGAGGTTCAGGAGAGGGTGGGCAGGAGCCGTGTCGCCGCGGAGCTGGCGTGAGCAAGACCCAGGAGACAGCAGGAGCCAAAGGACAGCAGAGTCTAGGGGTGGCGGAAGTCGAGAGGCAGCGGGATCCGGGAGGCGAGAGAAGCCGCCACCCAGCAGGAGCCTGACATAGAGCAGGTGCTTGACAAAGGTTAGCGCCCCCCACGTCCTCCTCCCCAGGGGGCCCGCATGCAACACACACCCAGCCCCCCCCCGGAGCCGAAGGACACTGACCCTTGAGCTGCTCCCCGGCGCCTCCCAGCAGCTGGTAGAAGATGTGGAAGCTGCACTCGTCCTTAGCCTGGCGGATGGCCCGCGACTTCTCCAGCAAGTCTGGGCGGGGGCGAGTCAAGGTGCCACAGAGGAGGGGACCCCTTTGGGAGGGTATCCCCCTCCCCCTCTCTCATGGAACGATAGAGGCGCTCACAGACCTGGCAGGCAACCTAACTGGACCAGTAACTGTGGACATGTGTCACTTTAGCCTCGGGCACAGTTTCTTCACTTGTGCAAGGGGCCTGGTGCTAACACCCATCCATGAGTCCCTGAGGTGCTGTGGGGGTAAATGAATTACCACGTAGCCAACCCCTGAGCAGGTACGTGGTTTGCCATTTACCATGGATAAGAATGCTTCCTATCAGGATTTCCCTGGCAGTCCAATGGTTAAGACTCTGCACTTCCAGTGCAAAGGACACAGGTTTGATCTCTGGTCGGGGAACTAAGATCCCACATGCCATGTGGCATAGCCAAAAAAAACCCCTCCTGTCATCATGACCCTCCTAGCCTCAGTTTCCCCGTACTGGGGCTTTCAGCTTCTTCCTTCTGGGAAAGAGGCACTGAGTTAACTGATGGAGAGTTCTCAGGGTGGCCCCAGGCACAAGGTCAACCCTCCAGAAATGTTGGTCAAGAGGAATACTGGTGTAAAAGGGATCAATCCATCTTTTGGGGGTGTCACCAGCCTCGAGAGCATCAGTCCACAGCCTGGTCACTGGCCCTGAGGCAGAGACAGCCAGGCAGGAGAACCGTGCCCAGTGGTAGCAGCCTCAACAGGATGCGGAGTGTGGACAGGAGAAAGTTAGCGTTCAGAAGCTGACAGGGAAGACACAGGTGAACAGAGGAGGCTGCTGGAGCCTTGGGGTTCATGGAGGATCAGGGTGAGGATGGAGGAGGGGGCGGGGCAGAGAGAGCCCTGAGCTTTAAAAAGCTAAGTGAGCAGGAAGCGCCATGAAGTGGGGTGATGGGCCACAGGAACTGTGGGGATCAGAAGCTGGTGGCTGCAGGGGTCACGAGACCTTAACCCCAAGGAAGTGGTTACCAGGCAGCAATAGAGTCTATGGGGCCAGGGGCTTGACAGCGAGGTCCCTGCGTCCTTACTGCCTAAGCCTCTAGAGTGGTAATGAATCTGCCTGCCAATGCAGGAGATGCAAGAGACTCGGGTTTGATCCCGGGGTTGGGAAGATCCCCTGGAGAAGGAAATGGCAAGCCACTCCAGTATTCTTGCCTGGGAAATGCCATGGACAGACGAGCCTGGTGGACTACAGTCCATGGGGTCGCAAAGAGTTGGACACGACTGAGCATACACACACATGCCCTCTTAGGAAAAACTCTTTGCCAACACACTGCTTCCCAATCTCTCCCTGGATGACAAAGAGAGGGGGCAGGTATGGGACAGTGAACTGACACCCCAGGGATGGAAATATGATTTGTTATTAATATTGTCCACATTGCAATTCATAATTATTAACCAACAATATTAACATATTAACATTATAAGGACAGTGCTAACTTAATCATTCATTTCTAATAAGGATACCTTCTTCTTTTTTTTTTTTTCTTTTGGCCCCTCCTTGCAGCAGCTTGTGGGATTTTAATTCCCAGACCAGGGACTGAACCCAAGCCCTTGGCAGTGAAAGCACCAAGTCCTAACCACTGGACCACCCACCAGGGAAGTCTCAGATAATTCAGTCTTCCTTTTTTAAAAATAAACTTTAAACTATATATTTATTTACTGGCTGCACCAGGTCTTACTTGCAGCATGCAGGATCTAGTTCTACTGACCAGGGATCAATTCCGGGGCCCCTGCACTGGGAACATGGGAGTCCTAACCCCTGGACCATCAGGAAGGTCCCCAGGTAACTCATTCTTGAGTGCTTATATGGCAGGAGCCGTGCTAAGAATGTACCTCACACTGTCCTTCAGACCCTTCAAGGGTAGGTTCTATGATTTGCCCCCTTCTACCGATGGGGAAACTGAGGCCCAGGCAGGGCTTAAGGGCCCCCAGCCTCAAAGCTACAGAGCTGGGATTCGAACCCCGGGTCGGTGTGATGTCTTCGCTTGTTCTCTTAAGCTTTGCACTCCTGGACCTTCTGGGTTCTACCTTGTAAATTTCTAGGGAGCGTTCCTGGCACGGGTGGAGAAAGTTGGACACAGCTTGGCGGGAGTCAGCAGGCTTGCAAGGCCCGTCTTTGGCTGGTGTCTGGGAATCTGAACTTCAGGAGGCTGATAGCAGGGGCTCCTCGCACATAAACTGTTTGTGTAAACCAACATGCTTTCTGCTGAACATCTGTTTGCCTTCCCGGATTCTGAAATTTGGGTTCGCGCTGGGCAGGAGGTGCCTATGTGACCAGCCCCCAATAAAAACCCCGGGCGCCGAGTCTCTGATGAGCGTAGCTGGTAGAAAGCCTTTCACGTGTGTTGGAACACCTGGGGATTAAGCATGTCCCACGTGACTCCACGGGGCCAGGGCCCTGGAAGCCGGGGCCGGGCCCCCACACGCCTTCCGCTTTGGCTGCATGGTTTCTCTGTGCTCCCCGTGGCAAGGTTGGGAGGGCGTTCTCTTAAAAGCTACGGGTGGCCCCGCCATCCTACCCCAACGTGGAGATGCTGCGTCTGCCCCTTCCTGAGGTTCTAGCGTCCCTCCCCTTCTGCAGAGCGGGAAACAGAGGCACAGGGTTGGCAGCAGGCAGCCAGGGTTCCGGGCGAGCAGGGAGCCCTGTTTACTATACGCGGTGAGACCCTGAGGGCCGCCCTCTATGGCCGCCGCCGCTCTTTCCCGCCCCCGGGCGCCCCCTCGGGCCATGAGAGGATACAGGTCTCGATGTTGGCGCCCACGATGTACCCGGCAACGTCGAAGTTGATGCGGATGAATTTGCCCTGCGAGGGAAGCGGGTGAAGGGGCTTAGCCGAGGGTCCCGTGGGCCTGGGGGGCACCCCCAACCCACACTCACCCCTCCCAGAGTCAGCCTGTCTCTTGACTATCTCCCTCCATCTGAACCCCATCTCGATCATGAGGTTCCAACGGGGGCCGGGGTGGGGTGGGGGGGTGGGGCCTCCCGGGGAGAATTAAAGGTCCACGCGCCTCTGACTTCTTTGCTTAGGATCCAGGTCCCCAGGTCCCCTTCATCCTTCAGGCCCAGGAGCCGTGGACCCCAGGTCCCTCCTCCCTCACGGACCCACACGTCCTGTCTCCCCTGGCTCCACCCTCCTTTGCTCCCAGCTCCCGTTTCACTAACAGGAGCCCAGGTCCCTCCCTCCCCCAGCACTCACGAAGCGGGAGGAGTTGTCATTCTTCACCGTCTTGGCGTTGCCAAAGGCCTCCAGGACCGGGTTAGCCTGAAGAAGCTGCCGCTCCAGCTCACCCTGCAGGGGGTCGGGGGATGACCCGTCAGTGGCGGGAGTCGGCACGGGAGCCCGGGGAGGTAGGCACTGGCCCCGCTTGGGTGGGGGGTCTGGCTGAGTGTCTGTGTGTGAGGGGCCTTTGTGTGTCTGTCTGGGCATGTGCCAGCTTCCCCGGATCTGGGCTTGCCATTCAGTCTGTTGTGAAGGGAATGAGGAAACTTCTCTAAGATCCATTGTCCAGCGGAAACAAAACAACAAAAAGCAAGTCGCAGGACAACACCTACAATGTGATCCTATTAATAACAACAACAACAAAAAATGAACTAGAAAACAACACCACAGAACAAGACTCCCATATCTATAGGTATAGATACATGTTTGTAGACATTTAGAGAAAGGTCTGCAAGGATACACACCAAACTGTCAACAGAGTAAGCCACTCCAAGGAAAGAGGACTGAGAGAAGGAAAGAGGAATTTCACTTTGTCTGGTTTGTTTGTTGTTATTGTTACAGTGAATGCATACTCATGTATCACTGGTGGAACTAAAGAAAAATCTATACCATCTATGTAACATTCTTCAAACTGTCTGACACATAGTACACATTCAAGAAATGGTACTGTCCTCCCCCAATCAGGCTAACCCTTGAGTGGGGATATTTTTTTTTCCAAGACAGCAATTTTTAAAAATTGAAGTATAGTCGATTTGCAATATTGAGTTAGTTTCAAGTGTACAGCAATGTGATTGGGATATATATATATTCTTTTTTTCTGATTCTTTTCCCTTAAAACTTACAAAATATTGACTGTTGTTTTCTATGAAAGTACTAGTTGTGCAGTTGTGTCCAACTCTTTGCGACCCCGTGGACTGTCAAGGCTGTCAAGGCTCCTCTGTCCACGGAATTCTCCAGGCAAGAATACTGGAGTGGGTTGCCATTTCCTCAGGGGATCATCCCAACCCAGGGATTGAACCTGTATCTCCCACATTGCAGGCAGATTCTTTACTGTCTGAGACAAGAGGGAACTCCAATTGTTCCCTGTGCTACATAATAAATCCCTGTTGTTTATTTTATATATGGTAGTAAGCATCTGTTAATACCTACTGCCAATTTGTCCCTCCGCAGGCCCCCATGGCTAGAGATTTTATTTTGAGCTTCCCTACAGCCACTTCGGTGACAGAGCCAGAAACACAGTAGGTGCTCAATACACAACAATCCTCTTCCCCTCTTTCCTAGCCAGGTTCTCAAAAATCCCGACTATTTCCTTAAATGCTCTGTGAGCCCTCAGACACTAGCCTGAGCTGGGTGTACACAGGAGGCCTACCTACGATGAATGGCAGTGTGGGTCCCTGCGCTGTGTGAATGCGTGGTGTCTGTGGGCTGTCTACATACATTTAGCAGATCAACAATAAATGGTAGTTATAGGCTCTGGGTTGTTTCCCATTGGGATCTGTGGCCGCTCTGCACAGATACAGGAGGCCTAATATACACAGCGATGTGGTAGGGTCTGCACATGCACAGTAGGACCACACTAAATGGCCCTGGGTGTGTGCACACAGTTGTTCAATCACTAAGCTGTGTCTGACTCTGCAACCCCATGAACTGCACACCAGGCTTCCCTGTCCTTCACTACATAGTCGGGCTGCCATAAGCAACAGTGGGGGGCCCTGGGTGTGTGCACACAGTAGGGCTACAGGAAATGACAGTGTGGCGCCTGCTGTGCACATAGTAGGTCCACCAAAAGTGACAAGGTGGCCTCCGGGCAGGGGTGACTGTCAGTGCCTTGGGGCCTGTCTGCCAGGAAGACTGTGGGTTGGGGTGACCAGGTGGTATGAGGGGTGCCAGGACTCGAGGTGATTCCCTGCTACTCACATAAGACACGGCGCTGGCGGAGGCCTGAGGAGGTCACAGGACACGGGACATGGACCAGGACACAGCACATGGAACATGGACAGACACACAGATGAACTTGAGGTTGAGGGAAGGGGCAGGGGGTGGGATGGAGAGACAAGGGACTGGGGAAACTGGCCCTGTGGAGCAGGGTGCCTGGGGGTGGGGAGTGGGCGGCGGCCCCATCACCTGGGGTTTGAATCTGGGCTAGCCCTTCCTGGGCGTGTGACCTTGGACAACCAACGACCCACCCCAGGTGTGACTTTGCTTTCCCATCTTTAATGCAGGAAAAACCACACCCACCTCACTGGGGTGTTACGGTAATATAAGTCAAAGGACTATATATAAACGCTCACTTACAAAGCAAACCTGAGCACTGCAGGAACCTAAACAAGCCAGACACATAGTGGGTGCTCTGGGATGTAAGCTCCTACTATGTGCCAGAGGCACTGTTCCAAGTGTCAACGAGGCCAAGGACTGGCTGTTGCAATTTTTGTGTCCATCCTGTCTCGGCTCCCAGCACTACATATCAGGCACACAGTAGGGATTCGGGGTGGGGGGGGCAGGGGGAGCCAGGAGAAGGCCTACGACTGTGTTATTCCATGAGAGAGGCGGGGGAGTTAGTTACGAGGGGAAGCAGAGCCTGAGAGGGAGGGAGCATCTGGTAGCAAGCTCTAGAGTACATCCCAAGGCAGGTCACTTACCGGGACACCAGGCTCCTTCCGGCCCTTTGGTGATGATGCCACGTGGGCGAGGTACTGGATGACTTTCTTGGTGTTTTCTGTCTTCCCAGCCCCAGACTCCCCACTAAGAGGGGGCACAAAGGTAAGCAAAAAGGGTCAGCCCAAGTCAGCAGGTAAGCCCCGTCCATTCCAAGCAGAGCCATGCCCAGCCGGGATCCCACTTCCTCCAGGGAGTCCTTCAGAATTACTCACGTGCAGAGAATGGACTGGTCCTCACGATCTGTAGGGGACAGAGGGGGACAGGTCACCTGGGGGGATTTCTCCAGCGAGATGCTGGCCACCCTCTTTTCAAAGTCCTTCCTAAGGGCTAAGGAAAAGCTGGGTTTTTTGACACATGATCCTCCTAGATTCTAATACCTGACCCTGACTCAGCCTCTTTTGGCTGTGTGACTCTGGAAAAGCAGCTGTCCCTACCTGAGCCTCAGTGTCCTAACCTGTAAAATGAAGACAACAAACTCCAACCAAACAAAATGTAATTCATTCAACAAACTTCAATTTGAGCCCCTACCATGTGCCGCCTTGGGCTGAAAGATGAGATTCAAAGATGTGAGAGTGAGATCCTAGACCCCAGGCTCAGCCTCTAATAGCAAACAGGCCACAGAAGGTAGTGATGGTGGCTGATGGCCCACTGAGGGGTCATCTGCCCAAACTGAGGGCAGAGAGCACAGCTCGGTCCCCACCATCTCCTCCTCCGCTCATCCTGGGTCTGACAAGTTGCTGTATTAGTCACTCAGTCGTGTCCGACTCTTTGTGACTCCAAGGACTGCAGCCCGACAGGCTCCTCTATCCATGCGATTCTCCAAGCAAGAATACTGGTGTGGGTTGCCATGCCCTCCTCCAGGGGGTCTTCCCAACCCAGGGATCAAACCTGGGTCTCCCTCATTGCAGCCAGACTCTTTACCATCTCAGCCATCCCTTCAATAAATCCACACAGACCACCTATTAAGTGTTAGACACCAAGTGGGAACTGGCAAGGTCCCTGCCCCCATGGAGCATCTGACTGTTGAGCCTCTCCCTAGGCTTTCTGACTCTGCAGGTCAAGAGTAAAGGCTGAGATGACATTTTGAACAAGTTCCCAAGTGATGCTGAGAGCACTACACTTTGGGAACCACTGCTTTGTAAATACAGCTTATATGCTACCTACTATTAATGTCATATGATAGAAAGATACAAACTTTAAAATGTTTAATATGTTTTTAAATATATACAGATTTATTAAAATAGATGACCTACGATATATAGATAATGAGTGTATTATGGATACTACATGGAATCATGGAATTTTACCTGGAGTAATCAATTGTCATGGAGTAAATGGCACCCCTCTGATGGATATTCTTGTGCAGTGCACAACCTACCCAGCTATACATGGCAAACCCATGCTACCCATTGTCTAAGGGGTGGCCATTCAGTCATAACAATGTAGATCATGTCAGTAACATAAATGTTGAATGAATGAACACTCTTAAGAGTCACTGTTTCAAGAGGAATTTTTGTAGAAGCCTGGAACCAATGAACTTCCAAATGATACTTGTTGAGGAGACGGGTAAACAAAGAGGCAGATGAAAAGGGGCCTGCCTGACTGGTAGAAGGCAGAGCCTTGCCCACTCAGCCCTCCATTTGTGTTCCCTCCTGCCCCACAAAGAAGCCTCGCAGAGTCTGAAATCCTTGAGCTGACATCTAGTCCTGACCCCCAGCCCAGTCCCCATTGAAGAGGCACCTCCAGCAGCCCCTGCCCCACACTCACCCTGAAGCATGCTTCGGTAGGCTCCCTCAGTCACTGCGTATACGTGGGGCGGCACTTCATGGCGCTTCTTGCCCCGGTACATCTCCACGATGGCCTCCGTATAGATGGGAAGCTGCTTGTATGGGTTGATGACCACACAGAAAAGGCCGGAGTACGTCTGCAGCGGGCAAGAAGAGAGAGGGCCTCAGCTAGCTGCCTGCCTGCGACCCAGGGGCAGCACAGAGTTGCCATGTACAGCTGGGCAGGTTGTGCACTGCACAACAACATCTGGCAAAGGGACTGCCATTCACACATGACAATGTAGATTTAAGCGTTTGTTATGGTTTCAGGCTGATGGTTGAAAAGAAGCTTTCCAAACTGCACAAAGGTGCTGTATGAATGAGGATTCACAAGGGGAGAGAATGGAGGCTTTGTAGCCCTGTCACTGCTTGGACTCACACCCAAAAGGACCAAGTGCAAGTTCATCTGTAGCATCATTCTTTTAAAATAACGAAGGACCGGAAAGGATCTGGATGCACGGGCATACAATGGATTCCTATGAGGTTTCTGGCATCTACAGACAGAGAACTATCTCCAAAACAATATCACAGAGAGGAAACAAGGTAACAACTCTGCAAGAACACTTTTCCGAATCTGCTTGAATACACATAGACTATTTCTGGAAGAGTGCTTCCTGTATCTGCAGCCGCTGAAACTTGACGGGAGCATGTCTGCGGTCTCTGTTGATAACAGACTCGCAGGACCTGCTCCACGACGGTCTTGGTGGTTCCCTCTTATTGGAGGACATGCTAAATTTCAGGTTTGAGGTGTGTGAAAATAAAGATGTAATTTTTTTTTTGCATCCAAGTTCATGGATGCCCTGAATTTGTCCACACACCTGCTGGGCCTGAGTTCAGGACCTGGTAATCATTTAAGCACTGTTCCAGCTCTAACAGAGCCTCAGGTCGATGAGAGACAGGATGGGTCAAGGCAGTTAGACAGGTTAGAGAACTCGCTGACCACCTAGCTAACACAATCCAGAGAGCTAACTAGCTAACTTAGCTGGGTTAAGCTAGCTAATACAGGCAGAGAGTTGCTTAGGGGCTCAGCTGCTGTTTAGTCGCTCAGTCATGTCCGACGCTTTGCGACCTCATGGACTGTAGCCCACCAGGCTCCTCTGTCCATGGGATTTCCCAGGCCAGAATACTGGAGTGGGTTGCCATTTCCTTCTCCAGGGGATCTTCCCCACCCAGGGATCAAATCCATGTCTCCTGCACTGGCAAGCAGATTCCTTACCACTGAACCACCAGGGAAGCCCCAGGGTCTCAGCTAGTTAACTATGAAACCAACTAGCCACTTAGGCAGCTAGTTAGCTACTTAACGAGTTAAATGACCAGCTCTTTACTTGTCCATTGACTGCAGAACTGCTTTAAGCTCCCAGACAACTTGAGCTTCTCAAGTAGAGTGAGGGTGTGGCCACCACAGGCTGCCTGGTGCCAAGCTTTTAAGGATGGGAGGGTGGGTGGCCAGCCTGGAGCAGAACAACCGGTTTGCTGGGTGTCTGCCCGCCCTGCCAGCAGCTCCCCGGAGCTCTCAAAGGGCGGGGCGGCCGGACCACATTCCCAGGGAGGGTATCTCATGGCTGCTGGCGCCCCGGCCCCCACTTCTGGCTGGCGGAGGAACCCACCCCCCGCACCCCCATCCCCGTCCCAGCCCCCTCCTGCCAGCCATACCTTGTCACCAGCGTGACACCCTAGAGGGAACCTGAGCTGGCTGCCAAGACCAGGGGGCAAAGGGCTGAGGCCAGTGTGCCTAGAGAGGGCTGGGGGCACCTGAGTGGCCAGCGCACAGCTGCAGAAACCTGGCTGGAAGGGTCTGGAGCAGGACTCTGCAGGTGGACCCACCAGGTCCAACTCCCCGATGCCACCGCCCCACCTCAGCCCAGCGACTCTACCCTCAGTCTCGGTTTCCTCCCTGAGAAACCCTCCCCACCTCATTATAGAGGTGGTGGGGATTAAGGAAGATAATGAATAAAAACCAGACAGCCAGAGGCAGGGCAGGCAGTAAAAGGCGCTCCTGTCATGGTGCCGAGACGCTCAGGATTCCAGCCCACCTGGGAGCTGAGAGTTCACTCAGACTCAGGTGCTGCGTCACCCCACATTTCCAGCCTGTGTGACTTGACTCCAGGTGTTTGCCCGCTCTGAGCCTGAGTTTCCAGCTCTGGAGAAATGGAGCTCAGAACCTACACCATCTAGAAGGATTCTGAGAGTGACACCATGCCAAGCATCTTCAGGTGCCTCCCGGAGCAGAGGGCACGGCCAGTATCCAGCAGATGGGGTCCCCTTCTGCCCTGGGCATCCCAGGGAAGGGACCACACAAGGCCAAATAGCCTATGAGCGGCAGGAACTGGGTTTCTGGAATCCTGGACACCCCCCTCTCCCTTTCCACTGGGAAGAACTGTCATTCCCTTTGGCCAGTTAGTATTTACTAAGCATAGCCTGAGGACAAGCTGGGTGGAGCTTGAATCCGAATCTTCTAGCTGGGAGGCTTGAGCACATACCTTAACTTTTCCGGGTCCCCTTTTGATCGCATGGGTATGGGAACAGTGCTTCTATAGAGGGCTTCGGGGAGCTACCCACAAGTTCATGTTGCAAGTACAGGGCTAAGCGTGGGCCCTGGAGCCCTGTGCGTGCTTATTTATTTATTTATTTATTTACTCAATTATGTCATATCTCGAAGCACGCAGGATCTTAGTTCCCTGGCCAGGGCTCAAATCCGCATCCCCTGCAGTGGAAGCGTGGAGTCTTAACCACTAGACCACCGGGGAAGTCCCTGGGCATGCCTAATACGTTAGCTGTTAACTACTCCTGGGCCAATGTCTTTTCCTCTCCAAGCCGTGCACAAAGGAGGTAATAACCCCTACCTCACAGCCGTATGTGGAGCAGGGGTCAACCAGATCATCCTGAAATGAAGTTTAGTATCTCCAGCACCTCATGGAGAAAGCAGGCCCTCCCTGAGTGCTAATGATTGTTGTTAAGGCCCAATTTGTTTCCTGTCTGGGCTTCCAGAAACTTCCATCTCACTTTCATTCATCAGGCCCCAATTCTCTGACTCTCAGACCACAGTCTTTGCTCAGGCCTCACCATTTCCCCCCCTGAACTTTCCCAACAATCTTCCCACTATGGTGGATAGAATGGGGGGTCTGGAGTCAGACAGCCTGGGTTCAAATCCCAGTTAAGCTGGTTGGTAGCTGGTGGGGCGTGGCCTAAGTCTAGGCCCCTCTCTGAAGCTCAGTGTCCCCACCAACAGAATGGGGATGATAGGAGATACCCTACAACGTTGCTGTGAGGGTTCAGAGTTTGTATTAACAGGAAAGGGGTGGCTCAGGGTTCAGGGTGCCTCTCTGATCCCCTGACTTTGACAGGTCCAGGGCAGTGGCCCAGACAGAGGCTCACAGAGCTCCCATGGCTCACAAAGGCAAGCAAGGAATCCTAAGGGCCTAACACAGGCTGCAGAAGGTGTCACCTCAGTGCAGGGCCAGACAATCCTGCAGTCAAATCCCACCCCTGCCACCAAAAGCTGAGGGGCCCAGAGCCAGCCACTGGCCCCTCTCACAGCCTCAGTCTCTCTCCCAAACAGGAGTCAGAAATCATAAAAATACCCTCACCTTGTGCTTGTGACCCTTACTGCGGTGGATACTGAGGCCAGCTTATTTATTTTTATTTTTTTGATACATCTCATCATTTAGTGACATATTCTTCTATTACTTTCATGAAAGTTTTGTGGTTTTTAAAACATATAAAACCAGCATTTTTCCTTTTACGGTCTTAGCAAGATATTTTGTCGCTTTTCTTGAGAGGCCAGTTTCAATGAGCAAGGCAGTGAGACTCCAGCCCTCTAAGCTGATATTCAGAGCGTGACTCTGGGCCCAGCTGCCTGGGTTCAAATCCTTCACGTCCATGTGACCTGGGACCCAAGTCACTTAACATTCCCAAAACATCAGGCGATAAGGACAAGTCCCCAGCCCAGAAGTGAGCTGATAACCCACATGCAGCACTTAGAACAGTGTTTGGCACATCGTAAGTACTCGATAAATATTTGCTAGCCACCCATGATCATTATTTCTCATTATTATTGTCGACATTCCCTGTCAACATCTCTAATCCTGTTTGCTCTGACACTCTGGAAGCTTATTAAAAATACCAGTGTTCATGTCACACCCCCAGAGAGTCTGATTCAAATGGGGTGGGGCAGGGCTTCGGTGCTGGTATTTTGTAAAAATTCCACAGCTGACTGTAACCAGAAGGCAGAGCTAAGAACCACAGCCCAACTCCACCTGCTTGCTGTTAAGATTAAACAACGTGAGACATTAAAAGGTTAACAGTGACTAGACCACAGTCAATCTCACTATGACCAGTCCTGTCTTAATCCTAAAAGGCCCTAATAGCAAAGTGGTGGAGCCTGGAGCCAGACTACCAAGCCCAACTGAGTGACCTTGGTCAAGGAACTTGACTTTTCTGTGCCTCAGTTTCTTTATCTGTAACCTGGGGACAAAGTGCTTTATAATTATGCAAGTGTATTGAAACAACATATTTAGAGTGCCTTGCTTGCTCACTCAGTCGCTTCAGTCAAGTCCGACTCTCCCGGACCCCAGAGACTGTAGCCGGCCAGGCTCCCCTGTCCACAGGGTTTCCCAGGCAAGAATACTGGAGTGGGTTGCCATTTCCTTCTCCAGGGGAACTTCCCCACCCAGGGATCGAACCCGTTTCTTCTGGGGCTCCTGCATTGCAGGAGGATTCTTTACCACTGAGCCACAGGGGAAGGAAGCCCAATAAGGAGCATCTACTGTATGATACTATGAGACGCCTGCAGTGGGGTCTGAGGCAGTCCTGGTAATCCAGTAATTTATCACTCGGCAACTAAGGGTGGGCATCGTCACACAACCTGAGGGGAGAACTAGAAACAGCCTGAGGTCGGTTCCAGCTGCGTGCTGACACCCAGCCCGGGCAAGGCCCCCCTGGGGAAGGCGGCCACTCATGGCCCGGGCGAGGCCGCCCTGGGGAAGGAGGCCACTCACAGCCCGGGCGAGGCCCCCCTGGGGAAGGAGGCCACTCACAGCCCGGGCGAGGCCCCCCTGGGGAAGGAGGCCACTCACGGCCCCGGCGAGGCCCCCCTGGGGAAGGGGGCCACTCACAGCCGGGGCGAGGCCCTCCTGGGGAAGGGGGCCACTCACGTAGATGAGGCCGGAGTAGTAGCGCTCGCGGAGGTTGTGCAGCACCGAGGCCTCGTTGAGGCAGGTCAGCTCGGCCATGTCCTCGGCCTTGCTGAACTTGGGCGGGTTCATGCGCTGGATCTGGTCGCGGGGCAGCCGCAGCCGCCGGCCGCTCTCCGCCAGCTCCACCTCGGCCTCCTCGTCGCCCTCGTGCCGCAGCGCCGCCGCCTCGAAGCCGTGCAGCTCCGACGGCACCCAGACCAGGCGCCGTGCTGTCCACTCCACCTGCGGGGACGCGGCCGAGCCCCCGGGCCCGCTGCCCACGCCCGGCCCGCGCGGTGCGAACAGGAACGGCTGCGCGGCCTCGGGTACCGGGCCCGGCCTGGGGGGCGCCTTCCGACCGGGCACCGACACGGTCACTGCTGCCATGGTCTGCAGAGAGAGAGCAGAGGACCAAGGTCACGGAGGGGTTCCATCCCCACCGCAGATCCCCCAAGACAGTCGCCACTGCCTTCTCCACCAGACCTCAATTTATACTGCTGCAAAATGGGTTCACAGGCCTTTTTCACCCATTCCACCATCCACCTCTCTATCCATTCATTCATTCAATAATTCGTGTGTGTGTGGCTGGACCCGGAGGCTTCCGGGATCTTAATTCCCCGACCAGGGACTGAACAGGGGCCACTGGCACTGAAAGCTGGGGGTCCTAACCACTAAACCGCCGGTGAATTCCCAATTCAATAATTCTTGAATAACAACCTGAATGTCCATTGACAGATGAATGAATAAAGATGTGGTAGATATATACAATGGAATGCTACTCAGCCATTCAAAAAATAGAATGAAGCAATGCTATTTGCAGCAACATGGATGGACCTAGGGGTTATCATATTAAATGAATTGTCAGACAGAGAAAGACAAATACCATACGATATAACTTATATATGAAATCTAAAATATGTAACAAATATACTTATCTAGGAAAAGAGAAACAGACTCACAAACATAGAGAACACACTTGTGGAGGCCAAGGGGTGGGGGATGAGGGAGGCAAGGATTGGAAGTTTGGGATTAGCAGATGCCAACTATTATAGATAGAATGGATAAACAACAAGGTCCTACAGTATAGTCCAGGGAACTCTATTCAATATAGAGTGATAAACCATAATGGAAAAGAATATATATGTATAACTGAATCACTTTTCTATACAGAAGAAATTAACACAACATTGTAAATCAACTATATTTCAATAAAATAAATTTTCTAAAAATAATTCTGTTCAAGGTGTCAGCCATATAGCAAAGAACAAGCCAGAAAAAGATTCCTGCCTTCCTAAGGTGTTTACATTCTAGCCCTGATCTGGCTATTATAGGAGCCAAGGCCATGTGCGGCTACTGGAGAGTTGAAATGGAGAATCCATGCTGAGATGGGTTCTGAGCGTTAAGACACACACCCGATTTCAAAAACAGCACAACAAAAAGCTCACTCATGTTTCTTACATTTAGTAACAGATTGGATTAAAAAAATACATCATTAGCACTTACGTCACTTGTTCCTTTTTATTTCTTTATTTTTAATGTGGCTAGAAAATTTTAAATTACACATTTGGCTTGCACTGTGTTTCTGTGAGTTAGTGCTGCTCTAATCCCAGGAGACAGATTCAAAGATAAATAAGTAAATTACACAGTATGTTAAATGATGATACATGCCAAGGGGGAAAATGAAGCAGAGAACAGGGACTGTTACGGTTGAGGGGCATTGAAGTTTTAATTGGGGTGGCCAAGGAAAGCCTCTCTGATGTGGCATCTGAATAAAGACCTGAGAGAGATGAAGGGAGTAGGCCATGGGAATGTCAGACAAAACAGCATTCCAGGCTGGGAGAATAGCTCATGCAAAGGCCCTGGGGCAGGCATGTGCCTCTATGTCTGTGGCCCTCATTGTGAGAGGGCCAGTGTGGCTGGAGCCAGGTAACCCAGGGAGGAAGGGTGGTAGGTAAGGAAAGATTAGGGACAAAGAGGGTCAGACTGGGTCACGCTGAGGACCTTGACCTCAGAGATGTAAGCCCTAGGAGGGTGTCAACCTGATTTCTGTAACTCAGGTTCTCTCACCACCTCTGGGCTACCCCAGAACAGACCTGAATTTCATCAATCCGTTAGCAGTGGCTTTCTTCCGTGCAACCTCAAATCCTTCTCTTTACCATGGGCTGGCCCCATTCATTAACTTCTGCATTCACTCAACATTCCCTGAAGTTTTCTTAAGTCCTGAGCTCTGCCCAGAGTGTCTGGGGATCCAGAGATGAGTCAGGCCCTGCTTCGAGGAGCACCTGGTCTGGGGTCAATCTGGTCTCAGACACATCTCAAACAGTCACAAGCCAAGATGAGCTTTCAGATCCGAGCCAGCCTGTGCTAGACCCCTTCCTAACCTTAAAGGGGCTGCAGACCAGCAGGAACAGAGCTTGGCAATTCCAGAGCAGTTTAAGCACCCGTGAGGAAAACCATGCCCCCCGACCCTCACTGTGCCCTGCTCCTGAAGAAGCCGGACCCTGTTGCCTCCCACGGCCTCAAATGGCCACATCGCTGCCCACCTGCCAGTCACAGGACCCCCCAGTGCTCCGTCTGCTGCAGCTTGGTGCTTCTGCCTCTGCCCTCCAGGACCCCCAGCCCAACCTCAACATATCTCTGGAGAAGTCCCTCCAGACACCCAGCTCCTCTCGGACATCTCCAGATCTGGCCTCATCAGGTTCTTGTCTTTCCCTTACCTGGACACTCAGCTCCAGGCCACACGCCCCTCTTACCCCCAGGCCCTCTCCCCACCACCAGTGGTCCCAGGCCCCCACCCTCACCCTATGACATTTGGTCCTGCTGCTCTCTGGCCTCAAACCCCAGGCCCCTGCATTCAAATAGCGGGCGTCTCCCGCCATCTGATGCCATATCTCTCTCCACTTCCCAGGCCCCAGGTCGCCCAGACTGACTCCAGGCCTCCTGAGTGGCCCTCATCCTTTCAGAGCCAAGTCCCATCCCTGGGACTTTACCCTCACCCTCACCCCACCCACTTCCTCTCCAGCTCACGGCCTTTGACCAGGAAGGGTTTGGGAGTTTTTTGCAATCACCCAGCCCTGTGCTGCCCCTCACTAGAGCCAAGAGTCTGAGTCCTCGGTCCATCCTCCCTTGGACCCAGGAGTCCAGGCCTCCAGCCCCTCCTCCTCCAGACTCAGGAGTCCAGGCCTCCAGCCCCTCCTCCTCCAGACTCAGGAATCTGGGCCCCCAGCCCCTCCTCCTCCAGACCCAGGAGTCTGGGCCCCCAGCAGACTATATTTCCAGGAACCCTCAGGCCTCTCCTCCTTTGGACCTGTGAATTCCAGCCCTCTCACCTCACTGCAGCCGGCTAGAGGCGAAGAGGCTAGAGATGAAGACGCCTGGGACCAGCTTCTGAGGGCTGATGACAGCTCTGATGGGGTGGCCTGGCCCTCTGGCGGCCCCACCCTCCTTAACCGGCAGGAACACCTCTGCCAGGACTCATTTCTGTCACCAGTGCAGGTGAAAGCACCTGCCTGGGAGGGGCAGGGACTGCTGGCTGGAAAGGAGAAGGAGCCAGGGATCCGCCCCTGAGGCAGGGGTTGGGGCCCTTGGCATCCAGCCCTCCGACCTCACTCTAGTGCTAGGATCCAAGGGTACTCTCTGCCCCTAGACTCAGAAATCTGGGCATCCAACCCCTCCTCCCTCAGACCCAGAAGTCCAGGCTCCCAGCCCCCTCTTCCCTCAAGATGCACACATTCCAGCTCTCAGGGGAGTCCAGTTCCCAGCGCCTTCCTCCCTCGAGACCCATGAGCCCAGCCTCCCAGAGCCGTCCTTAAACAGACCTGGGGTTCCTGGCCCCCGACTCCCTCCTCAGATCCCGGAATCCCAGCGCCCAACCCCCATCTCCCTAAGACCCAAGTGCCTCACCCCGCGAACCCTCCGGGCTACCTGGGGGGCACCGGCTGGTACAGGAAGCGGGAAGCTGGGGAGGGGGCCCAGGAATCCCCCGGCCTCTTCAGAGCTCCCAGGTGCGGCTACCTCGGCGGTCCAGCGCGGGGCGGGGCCACGTCGCGTCACCGGGAGGGAGCCCAGCTCTGATGTCACCTAGCACCTGCCCGGCTGGGGAAGGGGGCGGATCCCGGAGTTGCCCTAGACAGGGGGATGGGGAGAGGCGGGGATGAGCCTGTTGCCAGGTGGGCGGCGGCGGCGGCGGCAGCGGCGCCAGGCCCCCCCCCCCCCGGGCCAACAAAAGGCAAAGGGCCCGCAGCGGACGGGTTCGAATCCCGCTCAAGCTTTCTGGGCTTTGGCTTTCCTCTTTGCGAATGAAGGCCAATGAAATTAATAAACCCATATAGGAGAAAATGCCCAGCCCAGCGTTTAAACAAGTAATGCAAGGAGACATCATTTAATAACGCAGAACTTTAGTTTCCTCAACCCTGGAAACGGGGTCGTACAATCCACAGGGAGCCCAAGAAGTACCGAAGAAGACGAGAACATGCTTTTCTAGACTCTGGAGCTTCAGTTCTCTGAATTGAGGACTAAATAATGGTAACTAAGCGCACCTACTATGGGCCGAGGGTTTTCCTGCTTTTAGAACAGTTGACCAAACTCATAGAATGACCTCAAAAACCAGTGAGATAAGGACAATTAGTATCCCCATTTCTTTTTTTTTTTTTTTCCCAGTTATTTTTATTAGTTGGAGGCTAATTACTGTAAGTATCTCCATTTCTCTGGAGAAACTGAGGCATGGAGAGGTGAAGGAAGTAACCGGCTCAAGGTCACACAGCCAGTAAGAAGGAGGGCTGGGGTTCAAGCCCAGACCATTTTCTAAAGAGGAGATTTGGGTGGAACCCGTAGTAGGTCCTCAAAGATGTCAATTTCCTCTTCCCAGGTGGTAACTCTCAACCTCCTTCCCCATCTACTTCTTAGGAACTACAGCCTTCCTTAGCGGACTAGTGTTGGATTAAAAAGGTTAAGGAACCCAGCACACAGTAGGTCTTCAAAGTGTTGTTCTCAGCCCTGTCGGCCTGCAGTCACCACCTCTGTGCAGCCTGTTATTCTTTCCCTGTTAAATGGGTGCAATACAACCCATCTCGAGTTAATATAATCTAAAGTTAATTATTTAGTTATAAAAGTAAAAGTGCCCAAGTACATCGCGGGGCTCAAAGATGTCTTTCCCCACCCCTCAGCTCTGCAAGTCACGATGATCCCTGTCTCCGGTCCGCGATTTTTACACGTGAAGACAGAGACACAGTCATCGAGGGCGGGGGATTGAAGGCAATGACTCAGTATTACAGCGTCCAATGTCCCAAAGCGAGCCTCAGTTTCCCCATCTGCGAAACAGGCCTGGGGCCTGGGCCTCCAGCGAGGACCCCGACTCGGCCTCTCCTAGAGGAGGAACTCGAGTTGTGGGGGCGAGTGGAGACGCCCCGCCCCACCCCGTCCCCTGGCCCCCCGCTGCCGTCCGACTGAGCGCAAGGTGAGTGTCCACGTCACCGCCCCTCCCCCGCAGCTCGCGTCGGCCTCCGGAGCCCCGACCGCAACCCCGGAGCTCCAGCCTCCCGGGACCCAGTTCCACTCCCCGCCGCCTCAAGCGGGCAGCGGGCCCCGGGCACTCACCGGCTTCCAGGGCCGTCCCGAGGCTTCGGCCTGGGGAGAAGGAGGGGCGGGACAGCCAAGAAAGCCCCGCCCACACAAGCGCAACAGGGGCCAATCGGCGCCCGCTGCGACAAACTATGGACTCGCCCACAGGGTGCGCACCCGCCAATCAAGAGGAGCGGCTGGCGGGCGGGGCCAATCAGAAGTTGCCGGAGTGTGCCAACCGTGGGAAAAGAACGGCTCCGGAGCGTGGAGCTAGGCGGCACGGTCGCAGGCAAGACCCGAAGCCTGACAGGCAGGGGGTCTGACCAATGGCGAGGCACAAGGGGCGGCCAGGGGCGGGAAGCCCAAGGGACCCGGGTGAATGAGCCGCTTTGTGCCCCAGACATGAATGACGGCCTTTGTAAGGGTCGGCGTGTGGGGGGGCGGCCGGAGGCCGGAATGCCTGGGTCCCCCGGGAGCCGGCAGGCATGAGAGAAGGGCGAGAGAATTCACTTTTGTCAAACGCCGACCGCGTACCACCAGGCACTCTCCAGGTTCTCACCCACCCAGAGGTGTGGGCATTACTGTTAGTAATAATAATAATGATCATTTATTGAGTGCCTGATGTATGCCAGGAGCTGTGCTAAGCGCTTTACCTGCATGATCTCATTTAATCCTTACAACTACCCCCTTGGAATTAGTGCTGTTAAGATCTTCATCTTCCAGATGAGGTAAACCGAAGCTTAGAAAGAAGATGTCTAATTGCTGGAAGTTATAGAGCTGGCAAGTGGCAGACCAAGGACTCAGATCCTGCCAAATCTGACGCCAGAACTTGCGCTCTTAACCACCAGGCTACACCCAGACGTTGGTTAATGCTTCCCAAGTGATAGATGGGGAAACAGGCTCGGGAGAGAGGTAGGCACCTTCCCAAGGTCACAAAGTGAAGGCTCCTCTGAACCCTGAGGTGGTGCCCACGTCTGGAGCTAGCATGTTGCTGGTGAGCTGTGTACCACTGGTCTCTGAGCTGTGTCCCGATTTTACAGGTGTACACTGAGACTTCAGGAGGGGTGAGCAGCTAGGCTTGAGGAGAGGGAAGGGAGGGTGGACTACACAGCACTCAAGTCCCAGCCAGCCTGCCAAGCTGTCTCCACTGCCCAACAGCTGTGGGAGCTTGAGCCCATTGCTGGCCTTTTTTTGAGGTTCTGTTTATTTTCTATGTCTGTCAAGTGGAGAGGATGATCTCTCTGCCCCCACCTTCACCATCCCCTCCCCCCACAGCCTATTGCCAAGGGGATCCTGTCAAACTTTGTCCAGACTGCACCCCTCCTCTGCTCAGAACCTTTCATGGCTCCTTGTCAGAGTAAAAGTCAAAGTCCTCACTGTGGCCCACAAGACCCTGCATAATGTGGTCCCAGGGGGCCCTGTGTGAGAGCAACTCCCCTTCATTCAGCTCCAGGGATACAGGCTTTCCAGCTGTTCCTCAACTCCTCAAACACTCCCCAGGCATGGTTCTGCCTCAGGGCCTTTGCACTGGCACTTTCTTCCCACAGATCTTGCATGGCTGCCCCACCTCACATCATCAGGTCAGATCCAATGTCACCTCCTCCAGAAAAGTGTGATAGTCACTCAGTCATGTCCGACTCTTTGTGACCCCATGGACTGTAACCCACCAGGTTCCTCTGTCTATGGGATTCTCCAAGCAAGAGTACTGGAGTGGGTTGCCATTCCTTTCTTCAAGGGATCTTCCCGACCCAGGGATGGAACCCGGGTCTCCTGCATTGCAGGAGAATTCTTTACCATCTGAGCCACCAGGGAAGCATCACCTCCCCCAGAAGGCCTTTTCCAACCATCCTGTAGAAAACATTTCACTTTCTTCCTTTGACTTCCTTGGATTTTTTCCCTCATAGCACTAGAAGAGATGTTTGTTTACCTTTTTATCTTCTATCTCCCCACTAGAACGTGAGTCCCACGAGGGCGAGGATCTTTCTTTTGCTCTGAGCTGGATTCTCAGGCCCTGGCACACAGGAGGAACTCTGTAAGTGTTTGTTGAACCAACAGTAACAAGTCCTTGTGTGAATTAAATGAGTTAATATGTGCAAAGAGCTGTCCTAGCATGGAGGAAAGATTAAATAAATTATTATTACTATCATTATTTATTGCTCTACAGTCTTCTGATAGCATGCAGGAGAGAACCAAGAGACAAAGAGAAAGAACAAGGGAAAGAAGCCGGAGAAAGGGGAAAGTTGACAGGTAAGAGATGGGGCATGAAGGAACAGAAAGAAAGAGCTGGTGCTGGGATAAGGGCAGTCACCGGTGACAGCATTCAACTCCCAACACCTACACTCAGCCAGAGCAAAGGTGAGTCCTTATAGGCAAGAAGCTTTGAGATTGCCATGGTCACTGCCCATTTCTTTGCAGATGGACAAACGGTTCCATGGAGGGGAGGACCTTTCCAAGGACATCCTCAGTGATTATACAGTTCACGTGTATGAAGGCTAACTGTGTGCTGGGAGCATGACCATCATCATGTTGATGCCTCCTCGTGCCAGTCCTGTGAGCTGGCACTGTCATTATCTCCACTTTCAGGCCTGCAACGTGCCCAGGGTCTCCTGTCTGCTCTTGAAGGTAGATCTGGTCTCAGACTGTGGTAGGTCAGACCCCTGAGCCTGTGCTCTTAGCCAGGACTCACAGACAGAGAGAAGAGCACCTGTTACCCTAGCCAGCGTGTCCACCGTGGAGTCCTCTTGCCATGAGGCTAACGGGAGCTGCTGTCTATTGCATGCTGACTGTGCGCTGGACATTGTGGCCTTTGTGTGCATCTAACTCATTGGATTCTCTCAACAATCCTATGAGATTGATACTTTCATTATCTGCATTTGATTAATAGAAAACTG